GACAGGCGTGTCACTTACCACTAGGCACACAACTTATTCGTCGAGTCACTTAGTGTTATTTTAAAAAAATTATCATTTACTAGTTATGGATAAGTACAATATTTAGAGATCTCCAAAAAATACTTTTTGTTTACGTATAATATTATGATTTCATGACTGTACTTCATCTGTACTTAAATTACAACAGCTCGCCTGTCATGCCCAAACTTTTTTAATCAACACCAGCCCTCTCCAAAACTACCTACACACAATTTTACTTCTAAGCACACAAACTTTGATATTACAAAACGACGTCACTTCTCAGAACTTGTAGAACAGTGATCCACTGCTGAATTTCGATCGTAAAAAGGATTTGCGACAATAAACTTGCTCACTTAGAAAAACCGCTGCTGCTGTCCTTCTAAGTTGGTCATCGCCTTATTGTCAAAGTCAAAGTCAAAGTCAAAGATTATTTATTCCATAGGTAAAATAAATTTACACTTGAAATCGTCACATTTAAGCTACTGCTCGTTCACTACGCTGACCTCCCTGAGAAGAACGAGCAAGAAACTCTAGGGATTGCTCTTTTAAATAAACTTAAATGCTATGGAATACACTTTGAATCAAATTTGTGTGGATTCTGGGGCCATGTCGTCTTTCCATACATCTATATCTAACGCATTCAGAACAAAAGATGCATTTTACGATTATGATTATTATTAATATTCGATACTCCTCCTATTGCCATATCTTTCTGTGAATATCTTGATCTTATAATCTACTTGCTTATTTCTAATAATTACAATATTAATTAAATTTTTATTGAATTGATATTCAATTATTTTTTGTGAAATTACTCCACTAGTTTGTTATAATTATTAATACAAAGATCGAACACTCAGAAAAAATTCCTTCGATCCGGTTGGATTCGAACCGACGTCCTCTTGCATACCGTGCCAGACGCTATACCAACTAAGCCACGGAACGAACCAACGGACCTCACGAATTTTTGTATGTGCTTGCGTCGTGTCTTTGTATTTAGTTTTTCAACGACTTCGTAGTGCCATCTATGAGAAATCTGTGACAGATTTATTTTACAGATTTTATTAATTACAATATTTTCTCATACGAAAATGGTTGAAATTATGACCAAAATATCTATTCCTGAAAGATTGCCACCATTTATTTTAACCCGTCACGCATTCTAGAGACACATGGTGTCCCTAACGATATATAGTTACGGGTACCCACCTTATTATTGATTGATACCTCAACTTAATCTACAGCACCATTGTAAGTCAATGTACAGCACCAAATTTCTGTGACGATGATTCACTGAGTTCCGGCATTGCTACAGAATACTTAATTTACAGCAAATTCAAGCCCCTATGCTTGAAAAAAACCACAGAACCTACAAAATGAAACTTTTCTCAGTGCTAGTCAAATTGAATCCTTTCCGAATACCAAAATCGGTATTGTAATAAAAACCACACCCCAGATACTCCATACAACGGTCGAAACTTATTTACCTATACTACTACTACATACAGCAAGGCGCTATCAGCACACCTGCAAATGTGTGCGTGAAGTGGCAGGGTTACCCATCACTTTCTCGTACTATTACGTTACGTGGTCAGAGCGGCAACATAACGAAAATTCTAACACGAATCTGTAATATATATTTGTATTAATAGAATCCTAATTAAATCCTAATAATTACACATGTTATTTAGGTATTTACATCTGTATAATATTATTATTTTTAATTAATTCACTAACTAGAATAATACTGAAGATTTATTTAAAAAATATATTAATGAGTCCTTTGGCTCTGTGGTGAATCCCAAAAAGTCTTAAGAATATGCATGGCACATTGGATCTAAATTCTGTTATTCTCACTCCTTCACTGTTCATGCGGTCAGACTTTGGAACGTACTTCCTATTTCTGTTCACGAAAATACATCATTTGAACATGTGACAACAAACAACAAACAACAAATGAATTTGAATGACACAATTCAAAAAACACTATTTTTGAGATAAGCTCAGAATCGTCTTCTACAACACGTATTTTATGTCATACAATAAAGACCCAAGTCAAAAGGAGAAGAACAACCCATAGATGGCTCCCGTGCCACTACTGCCTAAAATAGTCAACGTGCCACAATTCAACATGTACCTATTCAAGAAAATTTAAAAGAAAATATCCTCAATCGGGTGTTCCGCAACAGTAAGTTCGTTTTTACTAATATTAGGCACGATATGTCTTTTGTGTTTAATATTTTTTTATTCTAAAATCTCGTAATTTAGTTAGTTATTATTATAGTTCATTATTAGATACCTACTTAACTAAATATAAACAATTCTGACATGTCTATTTAATGAAATATACATTTATAAAATGATTTTTACTTACCTTCAAATATAAAATACAAATACCTAGCGTCATATGAAATTGCATGCCTCTTTTGATAGTTATTGATTTGTAAAGTGTGTTTCATTATAAAAAGATATATCAAGATTGTTTACATTTATTTAAGCACCTAAACAAATAATAGTACATTTACATTGCTTACTTTGATTTCGTTATTTTCAATAATGAATATTTGCTCTAATTTCAATCTACAGCGTAGCTATATAATAGATCTTATGCCAAATGTGCTTAATTTTTTAGATACACAGAACCGAAAAATCAAAGAGAAGAAGGACCGTATGGATTTTCACTAAGAAAATCGAATTCCCCCGTAAATAAATTAAATTATTCTGAAAATCCGTCACAATGCATAGAAAACTTGGAGTCCCCAGGCAGAACAACATTTTTATACAATGACAATCTAAATAATGACCGCATCATTATAAATCTGATTACTCCATTAACTCAGAAACCAGCTGAAAAGGCTAATTGATTAAAAACTAAAGTCATGACACCTGAAAATAAAAGTCCTCCTCAACTGGTACAACAGAACAACTTAAAGATAAAACTCCACCTTCTCAATTGATCACAATTGAACACAACGAAGAAAATGAAGTTTCATGTGGCTTTTGCAGCATCGGAAGTCCATCAATATTGTCCCTTGGTTTATCGGAATTTCCTATGGGAGAGCAGAATATGAGACTTAATGACGATGATAATTTGACTGTGAGACCCCTATCAAGGAACTATATGCAATAGAGCGATCTCCATTAAAACCGATAGTGCCTTCTAATACCTCGCTCACACTCCGATTCATACGTTCAGTAACGTGCAGCTGTAGAAGGCTCACACAGTGTCAATTGTTATTTCGCAAAGAAAATACCAAGATCGATGTCTCTAGTAAGGTTTAAGTCTACATCTCATTGCCATTAGGTCTTATGAAAATCTGAAACATTGACTTTATTTTATGTAGGTTTTAAAACAAAATTGCTGAAGCCTAAATTGCTTACTATTGTTTGGTCCATAGCTTCTGTCGAAATTTATATTTTGTCTGATTTCTGTTTCAGTCTTTGTGAACGTTTTGTTAAGTGTATAAGCGTAAAACAAGAACAATTCTTCTTTTTCAAGTGTCTATTTGAGAGAAGAGTATATTATTATAAAAATTTGTTTGTCTTAGAATTGTGTTTTCCGAATCGAAAAGGGGCAATAAAAAATAGAACTCGAACTCTATGGACGAAAACAAAACTTCACCCAAGTTGAACTACTATGGCAATACAAAGGGCAACACCATCAATGCTCATTCTTAATAACACTACCTAACCATCTTCCCAAAAACTAACTACCCTTACTACCTATTTTCTGTCACGCTCTGCATAGTCGGCAGGAATCTGGCCACCGGCTGCGGCTTGTTGGTTGTCTCCTCCACAATCCCGGCGATGGCTAGCTACTGGCAAGCAACTGCTCTTAACTTTTAGCAGAATATCAAATGTACAAAATATTTCCTTTGACACTATCGACACACAACTGAGATTATTTAAAATTAGCAGACTTGAGGCACACAAAGAACAAACGAAAAGCGAGTACTGGGTTTCAGAGATCTTGCTCTCGCAATGCTTCGTGTAAGCCTATACTCGCCAATCCTTATCCTGCAGGTATTACGAATGAATTTATCGGCAAATTTTCCTCGATTTTCTAAACTTAGTCGCCATTTCATACTAGGCGTAATTTGTCTTATACCTTATATTTAATAGCTATATATAAAATTCAAATTCAAATTTTCAAATTTAGAATTATGTGCCAGTTAGGTACCTATACCTATACTCTAGCTAAATTCGATGTAGAATAAATGTCAACAAACAAAAACATATGACTTTTAGGGTTTTCATCAAAGAGTCTTCTTTTACAGTTACCACAATTCCCACGAAATTCAACTAGATTATTGATAATACTACATCTTAAAGTCATGTTTATAATGAATATTATTCAATAGAAATGTCAAATCACATAACAATGACATAAAAATGAGCAATAATTAATTATTTGTAAAATTGTGTCATCCCTAGTGACTTTTTGATTTGAAGGAAGATATTGCAAACATTCGAGTTCTGGTGGTAATTCAAGTTCAGAATCGGAAATAAATGCTGGATGATATAATATTATGTGGTAAATTAATATCAAATAAAATCTTACAATTTTGTTTTTTTTTTCATCTGCCATTACCATACAATCTAGCAGTAAATATTAATAAGATGCAAACACTTATTTTTATTCCTAAATCATATGTATCAATTGGTATTTTGTAAACTTTATAATAATTCGCTTGGTAAGTATTACTATACATACATATATATATATTATCTACATAACCCAATTACCTACCTATCTATTTAAATTTCAATTAAGGGAGCAGCCTGTGGGCAGAGCAAGCCTTAATAATGAGCATTGAAAAAATGTTCTTTTCCTATGCTATCATTGGTTACCTAGCAACGTTTTGTTATTAAACATACTACATGAAATTTGGCTAGAGTTATAGTAGTAAGTATCTTCCCCAAAAAAGCATAAATAAAACAAGAAATTTACGATTTCACATTTGTATTAAAAATTCTATCCTTCGTTGGATTAATACCAAAGGCGATGACAACAATAGTTCTTTGTTATGCAAGGCTGTAAAGTTGTTGTTTGACGCGGTGCTGTATTGAAACCTGAGAAAGCGAAGAAAGCTAAGATTTATTTTTTAGAAGACCTTCTTTTTTTGAAACTCATTATAGTTCTGTGTACAGTACTATAATAGGTACTCAATAAAGTTCTGTGTATAGAACTTAAATGCAATTTTTCAGCTCCGTGGCGAGCACCATAGACAATAAAAATTTTGATTTAGAACTAAAACGGGCACCTCTAAGATAATATCATATTATGGTTTATGAAATTATAATTGACAGATTATTTTATTTACCTCGACGTTTCGGACGTATAGCAACATCCATGGCCTCGAAAGGACCCATTAAGTTTTTAGGCATACACGATTAAGTCCCGAATTTAAAATCAAATAAGTAATGTGTGAAGATCGTGAAAGTTTAAATCAGTGTAGTGAAAAACAGAATTTTGTAGGAAAAACGCATTTCATGTTTTCGTCAAAATACGTGATAAATTGTTGGATTCTTGTCACGAGTTTTTCATAATCATTATAATCAAACGACTATTTTATTTTAGTTGTAGAAGGTATACCTACATATATTTCGTAATAAAAGAAATTAAAATAGTCGTGTAACGGCTCTGTTGTATATAGTAAATGAAGACACCCATACGGATGAGGTCAGGGCTGGTCCGCACGAAAAGCCAGATGCTTGCCGTGTTCACTCCGCCTGACCGTATACCTGGTAACTGCGTAGGATTTATCAAAACAGCATTGCATTTTATTATTACCTCTAGTACCCGACCTGTGCAAGTGGCAATCTTGCCAGTGACTAAAAGTCATTTGTACCTACCATTATACAAATTATGAAAAGTTAAATCTAAAGACTTTTGATCGAATATCGCCTCCAATGTAACGGAACAAGATCCGTCTATATGTAGCTTGATGTGCTGCCGTCTGTACTATCGCTATTGGCATGGCGCCGCCCCGCCGTGGCAAATTTTCATTCGGACGTATTGCTTTAGTTTACTAAAAAATAGAAAAAAAATATTTTAAAAAATAGTACATGCACATTATCTAGCCGAGTCCTTCGTAAATTACAAGTGTCTACACGCCACACATGTTTAAATTTCACATCGGAATCTGTGTAGTGTCGTATGTGAGTGGTACCTAAAATATGATAATTTTACATGAACAAACATCAAGTTTCACATATCATACCTCAATTAGTTGTTTCATAAATATAGTAAATATATTATTCTACTATATAAATAAAGTTTCTTTCGCAAAATAAACGAGCACATAACTTTTTTTTGCAGTACAATTAACTCTCGGCAATCTGCGTGTTCCGTTTTTCATCGGATTTCTATCAGTTGCCCTTTGCATTTGGTACAGACTGGACGCATTCAATCGACTTGGAAGTAGGTATATGGAGTAACTACTACTCTTTATTTTGGTAATATGTCTTTGAATGTCAAATAATAATGTACTGAAAATTAGTATTATGGAGAAAGTGATTACACATCGATAGTGAACACAGCTCTATGAAGTTCACATGGAAATCAAAACAAAAAAACGATAAAGTACGGAGTCCTGAATTGAAATTATTCTAGATAATTAATTAATAAATAGTCATCATAATCTAATAGACCCGTTTGGACAACTCTCATCGTAGTGTAACTGAGATACCTGTATATCGTTAACCTAATTATCTGCCCAGCGCGATTCAAAAGTTTACGATGTTGTTATCGTTTACATTATTTTTAGGTTTATTGATATTAAGTTCTAAATAGAAGAATTAACGTTTATTTAACACATTATAACGTTTAATAAAATACTAAGTATTAAGGTCAATATGATAGCAAACAAAAACAATTCAAAAGCAAAGCCTAGTCACAAAAAAGAGACACCACTGAAGTACATACAAACAGGAAGTCAACTTCCAAGATGGAAAAAGACTACGAGCGTATCGATGCGTCCTTAGGCCGAAATTAATGTAGCTAATTCTAACAATTACAAAAGAAGAAGCCTGACTTTACGGCTCTAGGTACCTATTGAGCACTTTTAATTTTCTCTATATTATTTATGTGAGCTAGTACTTTTACGTGGAATCAAATTGAGCCGGTGCAATTCAGCGATTAATTGCTATAAACACTATTTAAACAAAATTGATTGAGGATGTTTTTCAGACATTTCGTAGTAGGTAATTGCATTTAATTTCGGAATTCATGTGAAAGTAATACTTGTGTTGTATACAATATGTATAATGTGGCAATAAAATTAATATCTTTTTGAAACATAATAATTATTTGTTTATCGTTTTCTTGATTTCTTCCCACGGCTCGTGATTTCAAGTGCCACGCCCCGCGCCGCGCGACGATTTGTAGGGGCGAGCTCGCGCTACAGGCGACTCTAGGCAGCCTCGTGCCGATGCACGTGGTGGTGCGTACTCGGAAATGTGCCGAGTTCTAGGAGGTTCTAGTTTGGATTGAGCTGTCATTTCCATTCGAAAATGTCATGTGAAGAACGCAAAGCTATTTCTGCAGCCTTTTTTATATTGTACAGTGGATACAACTTATTTATAGCAATATTACGCGTAATACAGTGTGATGGTATTGCCGCCTAATTTGGAATGTTACAGAGGATAGAAGGATGTTTGTGTTAGTGTTAGTAATTATTTAATAACTTATCAGATACTGTAAAAGAATAAAATTGTGGACAATTTAAAATGAAATTGCCTAATTTATTACTCAATGCGACTACAATATTTTTATTTATTACTTGGTAATTTAGAATGTAAAATTTAACTAATGTGATGTGCCAGATGGTTCTTAATATTTCGTAACTTTTGTTTGACCCTCTCGAGTAATATGTAAGTAACTCTTGTTAATGCGATTGATTAAATCGAAGATGCGGACGCTGCACGTATTGAGAATGATTTTTCAAGTATTTGTTGATTATAAGAAGCCGTGAAATATTAATATATAGTAAAATAATACCGGAATAAGATAATTAAGTAATGTAGCGCTGGTTAGCGAAGGGGGTACGTAGAACGACGAATTAGACGCAGACGGGAAGACTTGGGACTGATACTTCGGGATATCGCTATTGTACAGGGAGAATAGGAGGGGCGAGAGGACAGCCTTGCGGGACTCCAGCACTTACGGGGTGAGGGGAGGAGAGAGCGCTTTCGACTCGGTAGCGGAAAGAGCGATTCGATAAGGAGTCTCGAATGATGTGCTCGTGCACGAGCACATGACGGTCGGGCACGCCGAGATTGTACAGCTTGTAAAGTAAGCCGTTGTGCCAGACTTTGTCGAAGGCTTTTGCCACATCGAAGAAGAGGGCGCCGGTGGGCATCAAGCGGGGGCGATCGAAACCTTAGGAAATATGCTCCACTATTCGGTGCACTTGCTGGACGCATGAGTGCCCAGTTCTAAAGCCAAACTGTTCGTCGGGCCTCCGAGAGCGTAATTGCTCTCATCAGTCTTGAGGACATAGGCCTTCGATTCGTTGGCTTGTCTCAGAATTGGAGCAGTTGTCAGCAATCTTTTCAATTCACAATATGTTACATCTTGTTCATTGCTCCATGACCATAAACTAGGATATTGGCAAGATGATTGATGACTTGCTTCAGTGTCTTACTATGTATAGCAGTAACCCCCATTTCATCATAAGTATTTTAGAGACAAATTAACCTCGTTAGTGGACGTGGAGTACGAAGACGTAAATCTGGATTTGAAGGATAGAGGCACAGAAATAGAAACAAAAGTGAAAGAATTTGCGGTCAGAAAAAGATATGCGCGGAGTCAACCATTAATGTAAGACAGAAAGTTACGTGAAAAATACGACAAAGGTGAACAAACTGTCCACGGCCTTTAAAACGAACTTAATTAATAAGAACTGGAATCACGAAGAAGTTGTAGTTGGTATAGCAACGGCCAACAATACAATCACGTAAAAAGATTGTACTACTAAAACGAGTCGAAGGAAAATGGGAAATCTGAACAGATGAGGAAAATAAGGAAGCTTTTGATACCGCTAAGAGCAACAACAACTCAAAGCATAATAAATTGTTAACGATGTAAGATATTACATGACTACTACTAAAAAGAAATTACTTGTTTTGCTTTAAAATTTATAAGTATTGTGATTACCTTAAGTTTTGATTTGTTTGTATATCAAACGCTTCGCCTAACCGCGAAGCGACCAACACTGGATTTCATTAATACTGTACTCAACCGACCTGTCGAATCAATAAGATTTTGTTCGTCCCGTTCTAGCTGGTGGATCAATAACTTTGTATTTGTCGCAAAAACTGCTCTGAAAATGCAAATTAATGAATTTCATTTTGAGCATAAAGTATTCCATTTTAAGGGTAACAATTCCATCAGAAAACTGAATAAATTATATACTGTGTGTTTTTTACCAATTTATAATTACTTATTAATTATTATTATTATTACATTTATGTTAGAATAATTTTAATTTTATTTTATTGTATTTTAAAAAATTGGCCATAAGTGCTGGTCAAATTAAATAAAACTTCATAACCATCGGGACTTCAATAATTATTGCTTCATTAAAAGTTGAAAATGGCTGTCAATTGCTGTATACACATGCGTGCACGTTCACGTGCAGAGCACGGAACTGCTCTAGTAGCTTTGACAAATATATGTAGCAACTGTTTTTTTTTTTAATAAAGAATTTGCACACCACACGATCCAATATAAATGTAAGTATTGTGTCGGTATGTACGTTGATTTCAATTTACATTATAATATAATAATTGAATGCTATTGTATGAAAAAGTTTTTATTATATTTGACAAACTCTCCTATCTAAATCTTTTTTTTATTCGATACATTGACATAATAATAACTTGAAACCGTGTTAATTTATATTTTTATTAACTTTATTCATGTTTATGGTAAACACATTTGACTGAAATAAACCATTATTAAAGAGAGTTATTCATAAAAAAGACCCAATTATACAAACATCAGGCTCTTTGTATGTTAGGTATAGTGTCAATTTCTCCGTATAGTCCCAGTAAAAAAAACGCACTGTTCACTTATCAATTACTCACTCTAGTTTCAACATAGTGAACCGAGTGAGCCATACAATTAGAGAGCTTTACCTTTCTCGTGTTTTAGACTTAGTTCTTGCATGTGACGACGTCACTGAGTTAGTATTTTATTTATAATGCTAATGTAAATTATGAAGTTAAATTTAAATTTCTGAATTTAAAACCGGAAAAATAGTTACATTTCCTATGTGTAACAGTTGCGGAAATCTAACAACTCGATATAAATGACGTTTGTTTATCATATGAGTGCTATATAACGAGTAGGCAATGTACAATTCACAAAGGTAGCCTATTTAGACTAATATGGAAAAAATATTTCTTTTGTTTTTTATGTGTTTGTGATTATGTATTGGTATTGGTATTGGTGCAACGGGCTAATTTCCGCAACTCGACGTCAAGGCGCCTATTTTGTGATTATGTATAAAAATATGAAAGAAGTCCAGTGGGCTACACTTAAAGATATTTACTATGTAAAGACACTGAACTATGTAATGGTCAATATTTAGTAAAAAAATAGTGACTTATATACGTATACTTAAATTTACAAAAAAAAAGTTTGGAGGTTTCAAAAGTGACATTTTTGGATAGTATATATTATACTGGCGAGCAGTGTACCTACTTAAATTAATAATAGGGGTTAAAGTATGAAATTGCCGATTTGTACTGAAAATCTAAATTGTTTATTTTTTAAATTTTTAACAAATTTATTTAATCAAAATAGTTGCCATTATTATCTATACATTGCTGCCATCTAATGGGAAGGTTATTAATGCCTTTGCGATAGAACTCCGACGATCTAGACTGCACAAACTGTGTGAAAGCATTTTGTACTGCCTCCTGGGAAGAAAACTTCTTGTCACGTAGATAATTGTCCAAATCACGAAAAAAATGGTAGTCCGTTGGAGCAAGGTCTGGTGAATACGGAGGATGACGAATGGTTTCTAACTGCAGTTCCTGAAGGGTCAAAATGGTTTCTCGTGCTGTGTGAGGTCTCGCGTTGTCGTGGAGCAATAATGGTGAAGATCGATTCATGAGTCGGGGCTGTTTTACTGCTAGTTTTGTCAACATGGTTCGGAGTTCGGCACAATAGACATCTGCCGTTATTGCTTGACCAGATCGGAGAAAACTATAGTGAATAACACCATGCTGAGACCACCAAACAGTTACCATTACCTTTTTATTGGTAAGTTTTGCTTTAGGACACTGTTGTGGCATTTGACCTGGGGTCAGCCATTGCATTTTTCTTTTCCGGTTATCATAAAGAATCCACTTTTCATCACATGTTACAATTCGATCCAATATTCCTTCATTTCTGTACCGGTTCAACAAGGCAACACAAGTTTCAACACGCGTTTCTTTCTGCAGATCAGTAAAATCATGAGGCACCCATTTTTCGTATTTTTTTATTTTATTGATTTGACGCAAGTGAGTCAATATTGTGGGTAAGGTAACGTTAAACCATGCCGCTAATTCCTGGGTAGTTTGACTAGGATCGGCTTCCACTATCTCTCTTAATTCATCGTTATTCACCTGTGTGGGCGGTCTTCCTCGTGGCTCGTTCTTTAAGTCGAAATTTCCATCACGAAAGCGTTTAAACCAAAATCGCACGGTGCGTTCATTAGTAGACCCCTCTCCAAACGCAGCATTGATATTGCGGGCTGTTTCTGCCGCGTTAGTTCCGCGTCGGAACTCGTATTCAAAAATCACTCGAATTTTCGCAGTATCCATCTTTCTTGTCTAAATTGAATAACAAAAGCAATTGAAAGTCGATATTCAAATGTTTCAAATTTAAAAAAAAAAATCACAGAAACCATTTGAAAAAAGTTTCATTCGAAAACCTCAAACCATGAAGATTCTATGAAAATTCAAAGAACCTATTGCAATAAAACGGCAATTTCATACTTGTTTTTCTAAGTTACAGGATTCAAAATTTATTTTGACGTGTACGTATTTTATTTATACATACTTTAAGCACTTACTTATCTACATCTAAAAAAAAGGTTTTAGGAAACTAGTGATTAATAAAGTTTTAATTTTAAGATCCAAAGTTATGGGCCTATAATATCTACTGTTTAACTGCCTCTGTGGCCTAACGGTTACCATGCCGGACTGCCACGCAGAGGTCCCAGGTTCGATTCCCGGGCCGGGAGAAATAGTTGTATGGCCTACAATTATTTCTCTCGTGAGTTTGGGTGTAATTTGTGGTTGTCTATGTGTGTGTCCATGGCACCCGCGACACAGGGTTTCCCTAGTGCGGGGCTATGTTGAGTGTGTGCGTTATTTATTTATTTATTTATTATTTACTGTACCATTAAATATTAGGCCAATATTTTAAAAGCAACAATTAAATTGTTTATGTCAAATACGTACCTAATCATTGGATGGCTCAGAAAGTGCTAATTAGATTTATGCTAATCATAATATTATTGTTTTATAGTTTACATGCGGTCAATATCAAGTTCACTTTACGTAATCAGTTGTAATTGTAAGCACGTTGCTTTAATTTGTTCTACAGTACAAGACCTAGGTTACAAAATGAAAAATATATTAGACCGTAAGTGCTAAATTTATGTATTAAGAACTTATTGAGATCATTGTAATCAATTTATTTAACCTTTTAATACCCTAGGCTTAGCAGTGGCGGTTAAGTAACTGTTCATCTACTTCTATAATTTTCCCCGGTTGCGTACCCACAGGTAGCTATGCGTAATCAACTGTTACTACATAAAATTTACAACTTTTTTATTATTATAAAAAACCGACCTCAAAAGTTCGTGGAATTACATCTAGGTACTTGTCAAGTTTTATTGAGATCAGTTACCGGAAAGTGCGCAAAACCAGATTCATCCCCTAGTTCACCACCCTTGAAGGTGGAATATTACCTTCAAATTTAAATGGGGCCAATACTGAGGTACCCTCTTTCCAACAAAAAAGAATCATCAAAATCGGTTCACAAATTCAAAAAAGGAAGAGTTATCGCGTGATATACGTACTTACAAAACAGAACCCCTTTTTTTTAAGTCGGTTAAAAGTGGAAAGACTCTAAGTTCACAGTCTAGGTGTGTTAGCGCTGAATGAGTTAAGTTAAAATATGACTGTGATCAGAGTCTATGTAAACATTTATTTACAAAATACGGGGACACACTCGTCGCCATTAAATTTAATATGAAATGAAGTTTGTATTTTGGTTTACTGATTGAAATCTTAACATACTATGTTTATAATTGTCCAGTCTCTCGTGAAACGAATATAGATGGATAATTTTAAATAAAAATGTGAAATTAAGTGAACATACCTACACTTCATAATTTCTTTTATTTAATTGACTTAATTTCGAATAATTTACTATTTTAGAGTTTTTATGGGTTACATCTATATTTATTTAAAATAGATAATTTTTTTTAAATTGATCACACTTTCATAAATTTAAGTTTAGAAAATTCCTCCACGCAGCATTCCACCAACGAATGGTGTAAGTAACTCCATCTGTCGGAAACTTCACGAAATATTTGTGTGACCTAGGAAAAACATTAAGTTTATGCGATTAGGATTTCTTTGATTCCCAACTTTTAATATTGTTAAATTATTATTTATGAATATTATAGAAAACAACTACCAAAAATATTCAACATTGAGTGGTTTATCTTTTTTAGACGTGTTCACCCAAAAATATTGATTCTGAATGCTCTACCATTGCGCATGTCTATCACATGTTTTACTTATGCCTTTGGGATGTGAATATCTTTCTCTTTAATATTGTTATTGTGAAGTTCCCGGGAAAATACATCAGACAAGAATAACAGCAATATTTATCATAAATGGAAATTTAAGTTATTCCTCTAAAGATGGGTAACAGTCAAACAAATGAAAAACAACCTAAGACTGGGAAGTCACCTGCCAAAAGTAAACATTTCATACGAAATTTGAATAGAAAAACACAAGGAAGGGATAGCAAAAAACATGGAAGGAAAAAGAACGATGCGAAACGTGATGTAATAGACAGAGAGTATGATAAAACGCCCGATTCTGACAACATAGAAGCGATAGACGCATCCGACAATGGCACGGTCGAGTGCGTGTTCAAAACATTGGCGCGGGAAGGTGAGCAGGCGGAGACGGCCAGCATGCAGTCGGAGGTAACGGTGACCAGGTGCTCTGAGTTCGAAGCGCGGTCAGCGACCCGCGACGAACCGTCCGCCACTGCCGCACCCGCGCCTGCCGCCTCGCCCTCTACCTCCGGCTCAGTGTTCACCGACCCGTTCACGCCGCTTGCCGTCGAGCTCAACCAGTGTTACTACTCCGCGGAGAGCGATAGCGCGCACGACGAGCCCCCGCGTACCCTTACGGCGACATCAGCGCGCGCGCAGTCGCTCACTGCTACCGACTTCGCGGATATGCCGCATGACGACACCGCCTCTTTGCTGTCAACAGATGACATGGAAAAAGAAGAAAAACGTGATGTTTTCGATGACAGCTGTGACAGTAACAGGGTCGAGGATGAAAAGGTTATGGGCGGTTTATTGTCGGGATTGCGCGGTGGGAACCTCAACAGGAGTACGCACGAGTGCGAACATGAATTTCGGGATAACAGGCTGAAGGCATCTCCAGGGCAAACTTCGTTCACAGTCTCAAGACATCGCAAAGTAGAGTTGCCTCCTGTCGTTGTAGACACTTCGCTCAACATAAACGACGAGGGTCAGTTCTTTGTAACAATTTTGGTGTTTTATTTAGGTACCTAGTTAAAAGTAATTGTCTTCCAAAAGCTTCTGATTCTTAGAACATTTTCAACACTGACAAGATTTTTAAATTAATAATGGCACTTCGGTCTTAGATTAATCGAAGTCTATGTAAGTATGTATATTGATAACTATGATTTTTATCGAGCACCGGTGCTTCAAAACTACAATGGGTATATCTCGTTGTTTTTTTAGAATGGCCAGGAATCCAGTTTATTGATATTTACTCTTTCCTGTGTGAACGAACTGTCTTAATAGATACTTTAGTAACGTACCAACTTTGTAAGTTAGTATGTTATTACTTTCTTAACCACCTTTCAAAAGTATACTACGGGCTCTTAACTAAGTATGCAAACAACAGTTATTATGTATTTACAGTTTTTTGAAAATTTCAATATTGAAACTTTTGCAGCACCGCAATGTTTTCTAAATTAGTGGTTTGGTTCTACTTCAATAACAATGGAACAAACGCAACGCGTGTAGAGTAGTGCTCTAGTTGTATTATTGTAATTTGCTTACTACGACATTTTTGCATTTGTCAGCGAATCCATTAATCCTGTTTATTAAATATAGTAAAGACGTTTACCCACGCGTACCTATATTAGTGAGCTCTGCGTTAGTCGGTTTATATTAAAATGGCGAATGGTCTCCTTTCTAAAGGTAGTAAACAATACCTTCATTCTCTAAAAACTTAATTTGACTTGATCATTGAAATAAGGCATTGACATACCTGCGTCTGTTTTTCACACGTTGATTTATTTTTATTCCAGCAGAGAATAGACGTCATTCAAGTTTAACCGACGCCCTTATGACAGATTCCAACGTTCTGCGGAAGGTCGCTTCGCTTACCCTCGATAGGCACGGGGAATTCAAAGTGTCCAGGCCGAAGTTTGTCCCGGAGAAACTAGATTTTCAGCTGTACGAGAAATTTGAAGGTAATATTAAAAAAATGTTCTATGCGGTGATTCTAAATTTTTAGGTACCTTGGTTACCTTACCTTACTACAGTTCCTAATACTAAATTTAGAAATATAGGCAAATATTGAAAAACAAAACTGATTTACGATTTTAGTAAAGTTTTAAAATATGTCAAGGTATGTGATGTGCCCACGAGGAAATGCTTTTTTTATATGGCGAGGGAATATCTAAGAGATATTTTAAATTATACAACTAAACAGAGCGTGTAGGTATGAAAACACTGTGCGCGTGGAAGAAGCGATAGCAAGTGCAAATAAGTTGTACTTGCAAGTAATAATACGAGTATATCTCCTACGTCAGGATTATGGCAAGTCAGTGGAGTATTGTATAAAGTATATTTTATGTATCCTATCATAAGATCGTGAAAAGTTTTTTGATGTTTTTTTTTATCAAGACAATATTACATACGTTGCTAGATCAATTACTAAAAACAATTTTACATCAGGGGCGCCAATTAACACGTGAATGGACTCCACGATAAGATTAAGAAGATTACAGTTTATCTTTCAACGAGTATATCTAACCCCTTATCTAGAATAATCATTGGCCTCAGTCTAGGTAGAAGTCCGTGGATAGTGCATACGTGACTGAAACATTTAGTTTTATGACGTAAAACATAATTATGCAGTTAGCGACAAATCGTGTGAATTTCACCACATCTTCAGTAGCGCAATTTAACTATGCGCGGTTTCTTACAAAGTCACAATCTCCACAAAAAGGAATCACAGATATTGTAACTGTTTTAGGCGTTCATAGTGATAGTTTTGCCGCGTTAGACAAAACTTTATTTCAGTGCAAAATAACCAAAAATCGCAGTCTCGTCTTGTTTGTGCCATTAAAAAATGTGGAATTCAACATTCGTAAGCCTAAAAATTGGTTTCGAATCAAATTAACCCAAGTAAGGCATTTTTCAATTGAGTGCGATTTTCAGACAGGCGAAATGATATGGATAAGTGATAATAACGTAGCGCAATGTTGTGATAATATTATTTATTATTGCATTGGGTCAAGTGAGAAAAAAATGTTTAAGAATTTATGTAAGTAAAAGCTAATTAAAAGTTAATTTTAAGCTTATTTACTGATTTTTTATTGGTTTTACGGCTCTGGGTATGTTGCCCATTTGAGCCATATATTTATCGAGTTATCCTAGAATTACCCACACCATTGGGCGGGATCGGTGTACAGTGTCAAGAGCAAGCCAAGCGTGACACTTAAGATCTAAATCCAACTCTATGCTGGTTACGATATCATAGGAACAGTCCAAAGTACGTACAAATTGTCAAGCTTGACGTGCTCTTGACTCTACATACGTTTATTTAACATATATAAAATAGCCCTCTCACACCATTGACTTACAATTATATGGACGTCGGGTCCGCGCTAAAAAGTGTCCGCACTTGTAAGGCGCTAAAATCGTATACAGAGCGCGACACTCCGCTTTACTCTTCATTTGTTCTACTGACAGCGCGATACTTTTTTTTTTTTTTTTTATAAAATATAGGTGCGCATTTGACCTCCATCTCACCTGATGGAAAGTGACGATGAGGTCGACGATGGAGCATGCACACCTAAATAATGCCTACTGCGATGACATTACAATTTAAATTTCGAATAGGTTGACTTGGGACATTTTTTTCGTGGTTTTTGTATTAGACCCGTCGTCCATTTATTTGTAAGTCAATGTCTCACACGATTAGATTGCCATATTGAATTGTCCGGAATAGAATTAAAATTCTAACATATATACTGCATCAATTGAAGAGAAAGAACTCCATACTCGTTTTGGGGTACTACCCATAGAACAGACAATAACCAGATTTTGAATAAACCTTGGAATGTGTATGTCTTATGGCCCAGTTCAAGAAATCCATAAGTCCATTTAAGAAAACTCAACATTGTCTATAGTGTAGTCTCACCATTTTGTTTTTATGTAGTTACTATACCATGTTTTGACCAATGTGTTGACTTCAAGTACAACCTAAGTCCCCCTTAGTCCATCTTTTTTTATATAAATATCACTAAGTTGATACTGGTTTGAAGCTCTTGAAATATGTGTCCATTCATTTGCTACATTTTTAGAAAATTAATACTCAAATGAAGTTAAAACAAAAGAACTGGAATAAGGCTTATTCTAGTTCTTCCGTTTCCTTTCTGTTTCATTCTACATAGGACCTACATTATTTGGTTCTGTAGTTTATGCTACCTAACGTAAGGATTTATTTTTGTTAAAATGAAGATTAATCTGAACATAGATAGGGATCGGAAGATTAAAGGCTTTTTTTGTATCTTTGAATTGATGGTTTACTCATAAAATTTCTTACCAATAATCATGACTAATCTCTTCAGAGAATTTTACCTCCTGAAAAAAAATTATTAAAATCCTTAAGTCCACAAAACAAGTTATTAAAATCTCTCAAGTCCCGTTTAAAAAGCCCTAAGTCCTAAAGATTTCGTTCTAAGTCCAATTTTTTTTTGGTCATTTTTTCTAGCAACATTCATCAATTCGTAATAACAAACGTTTTATACAAAGCCCCCAAAGTGATATTCTTTGACCACCGTTACTCTTTCGAAGATTTCGTATTATTGTTTTAAAGACAAAAAACAAAAAGATTGTGCCAATATCTCGGAATCGAGTTCTTAGGTTTTCGCGTTTCTTATTTTTAATTTTACAAAGAAACATTCCAATTTACGCTACATTGTTTTGCAAATTATTTTATTGTGACAATATGAATTTTTATTAAGTAACATTTATTATTAATTAATAATGGAAATTAGAATAAATTAAAACATATTATTTGTGATTTTTTAACAGAGGAATTCTACTGGATCCCAAACTAATGGTACGGAGAAACCATCTACTCTGTTGAAATTAGGATGTTTTTCATTTCAATGGCCTCTCGCAGCATCCTGGGTAGATAACAGACTTCTTTTGCAAGGACCTGGGATTTGTCAAATTTCATTGAATGTGTTGGTTTATCCATGACATGCTCGCAGACTGCAGCCTTGTGTTTGACATCAGCTATATGTTCTTTGACGCGGGTACAAATACTTTGCTTCGTTTGTCCAACTAAGAGAGACTACAGTATCTGGAAACTTAAAAAACGGACAAAGGAATTTCTTGAAATGGACCATTCTAAAATAAAATTCGTGTCGAGTTCTTAGGTTTTCGCGATTGTTACACATAGGAAATGAAACTATTTTTCCGGATTTAAATCGATATTAGACATAACTGGTTGAAGACTGTACCACCTCAGTCAACGGTGACCATGGGACCTGTAAAGGGCCCGAAACGTCGGTTTGTTTGAAAAAACAAATATACGCGATTTAAATCCGGAAAAATAGTTTCATTTCCTATAAAATTCGTGATCAAATCAAATCGAATCAGATCATTCTATATACAATGAATTATAATATTTGTAAACGTTTCGACCAATGTCAATTGTCATTTTGACATTTATTAATTACAAAATCGCCAGGCCAGACACGCATTCAACCATAGAAAGAAAAACAACATTAATCGAAACTGACCCTGGCCCAAGCCTAGTGGCCGCCATTAAGGAAATAGAATAGAATAGAAATATACAAAGAAAACAGAAAAGTAATAAAGCTATTGGCGAATTACTTTTTAACTCATATATTGTGTATCATAAATAAACTTCAAAAACGCGAATTACTTTTTATTCTGAAAATCGAAAAACATATAATTTACATTTCCAGGGCAGATGCTTCTCAACTGGTTTGTGTCATCAGTTGCAGACACCAATACTTTTAAGCAAACTGTAAATACTCAAGACCTCAAAAACCTTGGGATCCAGTACTGCACGGATTTACTGGCTGCTGGAGTGCTCCGACAAATATCTGATAAAAACGCACCGTTGGAGAATGTATTCAAGGTAAAAATGAATTTATGTGCTACAAAGTGTGTATATTAAATTCAGGAAGATGTCAATACCTATTAAAATTATACTCAATAATACTTTCTACACTTATACACATTTTGTACAGTTATAATTTGTATGAGATCTATAATGTTACATGTTTACGTTTTTTTATTGATTATTGGCATCATTTGCTCACAATCTCATTAGAGGGTTAGCATTGATGTAGTCCAGGGTAGCACATACTTGCCTAGAATGCCTATTCACTCCAGTCTTGAAAATGTCTATATTAAACAGGAACAGAACATAAAGTGGTTGATACATGTAGGTGGCATGTAACATAAAAGCTGGTTCCCTGAAGATGGAAGGGATGAGGGATGGGGGATGGCATAAACACTTTCGATTTGTATCTGATAAACAAACAACTTTATGCCAATGCTTGAGGCTCTGAAATTTAGCATATACCAGAGTAATATCTCTGATGAGCTTCTCTGTAGAGTCCAAGAAGACTAACTTGCAGCTAGTATAGAAGAGCTATCCAAAGGCACCAGCTGTTTTCCATGAATAATTATACTTGCGCTTGATGGATTTATAGCTGTCTTAGTGTTAAACACACCTGGATTTTGGAAAGAATAAGTGATTATGTGTGAGTGATCACTTCCAACACTTTTTAACATAAATTATGTGAATCTATATCTCTAAATTGTTAAAAGTTTTTCTCGCTACAAAATTTAACTCTGCTTCCTGACACAAATATTTTTCGATCAGTTTTTACAGCCAAGTGTCTGAATGTGCATGTTCCGTCCAATTTTTTGCAAAACTGATAAAAGTAGAGAGTTTTATTAGGCAATACAAATGTCATGCTAAATGAAATTAGATTTCCCAAAATTATACAATTTATTCTATACTAAAGGTACTTATTGATGTTTTTAAATTATTCATCATGGACACACACTTTCCATTTGTCTAAATCACTTAGAAATACTGATGACCACTCTTCTTTGGACATCTCAGAAATCTCGTTAAAGTTATAAGCACCCAAGGCATCTTCTTTCCTTTCAAACCACTTGCCTTTTAATGTTTTTTTTTTAATTTTTGGAAATAGGTGAAAATCACAATATGGTGGGTGAGGCAGAATAGATTAACTTTTTTAATAATACTAGTCGACTTTTTTGGCAGAAGTGTGCGGAGCGGTGTTGTCTTGATGCCAGAGGATTTGCCGAATTTCAGACTTCGGCTGCTTGTCACACCAAGCTGACAACACTTTTGGTGCAGAAACTGTTACATACTATTTGGGGTTAACTATTCTTTGACCCTATAGCGCTACAGTTGCAATGTGCCCCATCATGCAGAAAAATGGGCGACTATTTGTTCTGTGTGCTTCGTGCACGGCGACGTTTCGTTAGAGTCTGCTCTGATTGTTGCTTTGTTTCAGGATTATAATTATATAACCATATTTCATCACCTGTCAGTAAATCATAAACTTTTTTTTTCTAAATAGTGGCCTGTACTAAGAGGATTTTTGTTGAGATGGGAAGAAAGTGTTTGAATTGGTAGAACGATCTTAAGGTGCCAATGATCTTCTGACTAATGTAGTCAATCTGGGATTTCCAGCTTAAAGTACTATCAATGTGTAGTCCCAGATTCATAACATGCGGTGCGAATGCAATAGGTGTATCATTACAAGAAAGAGGCGCGACAGAGCTCATGTCCAACCTAGTCAAAGCATGAGAACTACCCGCGACAATACCTTGGCCCTTACTTGGGTTAACACCGATGCCAAACTTACTCGGTCAATCAGCGATACACCTCAGATCGTCATTAAGCGCTTGTATCGCAACGTCCAGGCAGTTAATCTTGGCCTGCGCATATATTTGCAGATCATCTGCATACAGATGGTGAGAATTGTGGAGGGTAGGAGAAATTAAATTGATGAAAACGGAGAACAATAGAGGAGAAAGAAGTTCACCTTGGGGGACACCTGCCTCAAGGTCTGACCAATTAGACATGGCAGTCCTTAGCGCGAACCGCTTGCTTGCGCCCTCGAAGATATGAAGAAAACCCCTCCATTTCCGGAGGAGAGATTCGCAAATAAGCAAGGATAGCAAGAAGGATATCATGGTCAACAGCATTGAATGCGTTAGAAAAATCAATGAGGACTAATACCGTTAACCGAAAATCCTTCATGCCCTCCCGAATGTCCTCCATAACTTTCAGTAACGCTGTCATGGTACTGTGGGCAGGCCGAAAACCAGAATGGTACTGGTCGAGGATGTTGTTTCTAAAAAGGAAAGATGATAGTTGGCGATGAACAATCGCTTCAATAATTTTTGAAAGGAAGGGTAGTATAGAAATTGGACTAAAGTGTTTAAGGGTTGTGGGGTTATTAATCTTAGGAAGAGGCAACACATGCGCCCTGCGCCAGTTGTTAGGGAACGTACCAGATGAGAGGGATGAGTTGATAATGTGAGTAATAATAGGCAGAGCACTATCTAAACAAAAGACTATCATTTGTAGACTAATGTCATCACATCCAACAGCTTTAGACTTTAAAGACATTATTGTTTTGCGAATATCGGACTCCGACACTAAAGAAAAGATAAAACTTTTTTGTTGGCACAAGGAAGGAACATCTTTGAGAGCATCCGCTTTGCCTGCCCATTGAGTGCTGACACTAGCCGAGAAATGCCGATTGACATCGTCAAGAGTGAAAGGATGAGGTAAAGCGTCATTCTGAGGCCTAACTAAGCCAATAGACTTCAAACATTTCCAAGTGTCAGCTGCAGTGGAGAAGGTTGTCATGAAAATAGCGACGTTTTGCAGCTCTCACCTGGTTGCAGCGATTTCTATGAGCCTTGAAAGTAGCCCAGTTTTCCTCAGACCTACGTTTAAATTTACTCCTCATTGCAATACGCACCAAAGGAGTAATCCAGAGCGCAGGTGGTCTTTTCAGTTTCATTGAGCGTAATGGTGCGTGCTTGTCGTAAAAACTTAATAAGGTGGCACTGAATGTTGTCAGCTTGCCATCTAAAGTGGGCGCTGCCATAAACCAATTTATCTATCATGAAATGCACCAATCCACACGATGTTCTTTCTGCTCATCATTAGGTCACATAAATCGCAACGTTTATGGATGGGCTGTTATCCATAAATAATAGTCTGCAATGCTGCTGACCCAATGCCCAGTTCTTAAGTCTAAACTGTACATTATAAATCGTCACTTTTTACGAATAATATTTTCGACAGCATGAACGTATTGTTGATAACCGCTGTTGACGGCCGACCCTTCATTACCTCATCTACAAAGCTTCTCTACCCTCTTTCAAATTCAGCAAACCAATTAAACATAAATGATTTGCAGATAATGATACACAGAACAAAACATGAATGTATATTATTTACTGACGACATATCTATTATCGTAACTTTTAGTAGAAAGACAACAACAATAAGACACCATGAACTAGACATAAACAATGCAATTGTTGAAGTAATCAATTGGCTACATTCAAATAATCTGAACTTAAGCAAATCAAACTATCATACGGTTCGCAAACCATGTACAATACTTAATATTAATTTAATACTAGAACACTCTTTAGCTTGGAACAGATGACAATTGTGCACAACATTGAAATGAAAGAGATTTAGTTAAATATTCTATTTAAAAATGAAAATGCACGTTTATAAAATGAAAAAAGTTTGAGCAAACCATAAATTAAAAATCTACAAAAAATGAACGCACCTAGTTTTGAGACCTCATACACGCTTTAAATGATTTTAAAGATTGGTGGAATATATCTACCTCTGTGTTAACCTTATTATTATTCCTGCACATACGAAACAACGGATCATTGTACGACACGTTGTATGTTGTTAGTGGCACATAAAAAAGTATACAATTTAATAAATCGAGACATACTAAATATAATTACAGTTTAAATATCGATGCAATTCAGGAAATATTCCATACCAAATTTCTTGGAGTAACCATAGATCAATAGCTAAACTGCAAAACTCGCGTTTAGAATGTATGTATGAGAATCCATAAGTTTGTATATCTTTAAAAAAGCTGAAAAATATAACAAATAAGGAAGCTGTCATAACCACATATCGCACTGTTAATACAATAGTGTATTAACTTAAAAAGTGGACTTTCTCAAAATCGATGAAAACAAAAACGAATTACTCACTTCCCGCAAAAAATAATTAAAATTTGTGTATATGTTATGGTTTATTAAAGACACTTAAACAATTTCCTAAATATGTTTAAAAATAAAATGGAAAAAATAATTTAATATTTTTGAATAAGGATTATTTTGGCCAGAACAAGCTCACATAAAGTGTGTCTCATTTTGAGTTAAGTAGATATCTTTTGATTGTTTCTTACAATATTCTACCGACGGTTTTTTTGACGTGTAAAGAATCAAGTTTTACGCTACGTAAAGAAATAATATTAAATTTCACATATTTTGAGTTGCAACACTTGTAATAGCAGTGCGATATAAGGCGTATGTAGAATCCATATTACTATTTTGAAACATGCCAACTCTTGTCTCAGAGCCTTGGTCTGTTGCCACTATCATCATTATTGAGATTTATTATATATATATATATATATATATATAATATATATTATATATATTATATAATATGATATATATATAATATATATTATATATATATAATATATATATGTGTAAATTTGTATCTTTGTACGAAAAACACATATTTGTCTAAGAAAGCCTGTGATGTGAAACCCGAATAGACATGTATACACCATACTTATAACTGCTAAATGCAGTAAAAGTTAACCAAATACCACTTGACATTTAACTATTACACTTCAGTTTAATTAAAACAAAGCTGTAGAAGTGGTTAAATATAAATATTTTTTTCGAACTAATTTAACTATTACACTTCAGTTTAATTAAAACAAAGCTGTAGAAGTGGTTAAATATAAATATTTTTTTCGAACTAAACGAAATATTTGACAGGAAATAAGTTGTAATCTTCAGGATCAACATTCTTTACTAAATTAATTTGTAACTTGACTTGTTTGTGACATATTTTATTGTTGTGTTAGTGCTGGACAGTACAGTATTTTACAGCACAGTACTTTAAGCTGGAAACCTCAGATTGACTGCATTAGTCAGAAGATTATTGGTACCTTAGATCGTTCTACCAATTCAAACACTTTCTTCCCATCTCAACCAAAATCCTCTTAGTACAGGCCACTATTTTTCCTATCCTTGATTACGCTGATGTGTGTTATGCTGATATCACCTAGGAACTTCTCAACAAATTGGATCGCTTTATTTATGGACTTCGAAAATTTGATCACGTGTCCGCATGTTGCAATGAGCTGAAGTGGCTTACGATTCACCAGTGACTCTTTTAATTCCTTCTCACCGTACTGGTTTTCTTTCTAACTCATTTACTCTTGAGGCAATACGACTCTGGAACGCTCTACCGCCCCATATTCAAAAAGCGCCGAATAAACTAGCTTTCAAACAATTAGTCCGTGATTTCATATTGGAGTCTCAATCTACATCCCATTAGCCTGACATTGTTATATATAAATAAATATGTATATTAAATAAATATGTGTATGTATTATATATTATGTATTTATGTGTATATAGGTTGCTTATATAAGTATATAGTTAGTCATATAATATTATGTGCTATATTTATATTGAGTTTAAACTATATATCATAATTATTTATAAACTTCTTCCTATCTGTTTTAATTATCAGGTTATGCACCTCTGTTAATTATTTTGAACCCAGCTCTCCGGTTGACTGGTAGAGAATGCCTAATGGCATTAAGTTTGCCCTTTGTACAGTTTTGTGTGCAATTAAGTTTAAATAAATAAATAAAAAAAAATATGAACTGTGGGTCATGAACAAGCTGGGCCACCAAAAATTCAAAACATTCTTGCTGTTTTAAACATTTATGTAGTCATAATAAATCATAACACGAAAATCACGTCGAGTGAGCTCCGTTGTTGCGAGCGAATTCCCGTCAGATTATCTTCGTAAAATAAAAAATAATTCGATTTAAGAGATGTTATATTTTCAAATTTATTAGCAATTAACCTGCTTTTAAAACGTTGTATAACTGACCGTATCTAACAAATGAGTAATGAGTATCTAATATTTTTTGGCATGACCCTCGTAAACTTATTGAAAGGAATACAGAAGTCAAGTTCTCAGATCTGAATACTGCATGCAGTATTGAATTTAATAATAAGACTTGACTTCCATCTTCTTAGGTATGGTGTAAGGAGTTGCTATCCGCAACTCGGTTTAGCGCCTATTTCGCGTGTGATGGGTGCAGAGTCCTACTTGTTCCTCCCGAGTTCTTCCAAAAATCTCAGCATCCTTCTAGGTTCGCTAAAGACTTGGCAGAGACTTCGGCACTTCTAGGTATTTCGCCTTGTAGTTTGACATGCTAGAGTATTGTAGTAGGGTAGGGTATGCGTGGCTATTTCCTCCTCGTCTATGCATGCTTTGCATAGAGGGTTGTCCGTGATACCTAAATTGAAAAGATGTTTATTATATGGAACATGATCCGTTAAAGCGGCAGTTAGGGCATGGAGTTGTAGCCTGTCTATAACTTTAATTCTTATTTTATAAAATGTGTTAGAAACGTTGAATGCAGGCAATCCTGTAGGATTTAAATAATTACCATTTACAATTTTTTTTTTCAGCCGAATCTAATGTATTACTGGGCTCACATGGAGCTGCCAGTATCTCAACCGCTCACTCCAGGTCGTCTGCACATGTGTGCTTGGCCACCGGATAAAGAAATTCAGCCGGAAACTAGCCACATCATAGAAAAAAACAGATTCTTCAGCCAAAACAACAATGAAGAAATTAATGACCTTGCGGAAGCAAAACGCATCATCTCACAACTTAAACAAAAGCTACAAGAACTAGAATATCAACTCGAAAAACTTAAATTAACAGCACAAATAGAATTACTCAGTAAAAATATAGATATAATAAATACGGAATCGAAATCACACCTTAAACCAGTTAAATGGGGTATAGCCAGCAAAGAGGTACAAACTTGCGATTTAGCCAGTGAACTAGATACGCTACATAACAATAAACCTGTGATAAAAATACCAGAAAATGATCCTTTAAGAACAAATGTACATAGTTTTGATATAAGTAGTGTTTATGAAAACGAAAAAGAAAATGAAATAAAAGCTGAAGTAACATCTGAAAAACTTGAGAATTATTGTAAGTTAAACAAAAGTAGAGATATTAATAACTCTTTTCAAAAAGAAGAACCACCAGAGAACATAGAAAAATTATCAAATACAACAAATAGTGAAAATTTACATGCCACATATTCAGAACTCACTACATCTGGTAGATTATACGAGAGCTCTTCAGATGCATCTTTTTGCAGTACATATACATCATCAGAGTTAATTGACACCCTTACAGATTCTGATAGAAACAAATCAACTGAGACTAATCTGCAAAATCTTATTAACAACCAAGTTTTCTATACTTCAATTACTGAAAAACATTCCAAATCTAGCCAATCTGTGCCCTCTGAAGAGACAAATACAACAAACACATCAGATTACTCAACTTCAAAGTCCCAACTTGAAGCTGCAAATGACTGTTCTGTGTCTCGTAGTTTACATGAAGAAAATGCAATAGACCAGAAAGAGAAGGAAACGTCTATCAACAATGTATCGCTGTTACAAATAAGAACCAGCTCTCCTGAAACTTTGCAACAAACAACCAATACGTCCACCTTATCTAGAACGTGTACGTCGCCAACTACGAAATATTTTCCTTCCCCTCCCTTACTGCCGCCATTGCCAGAGATGGATTCGGTATCTTTTATTACGTCTGACAAACAGGTATCCCAGCCACTGGCAAGATCCGATCAAATATCATTTCCTGCCACCGAATCACCTTTACCTCCGCCTCCGAAGTCCGAAATTGCGTCACCTCCGCCACAAACGCAAGAGGCGGGCCCACCACCCCCACCGATGCCTGTGACGGGCCCATCTGTTCCACCTATGTCAGGCATGGGCCCACCTCCCCCACCGATGCCTGGGATGGGACCACCTCCCCCTCCGATGCCTGGGATGGGACCACCTCCCCCTCCGATGCCCGGGATGTGCCCACCGCCTCCACCGATGCCTGGAATGGGTTCTTTACCGTTGCTCGTGCAGGGCACGGAATTAACGCCACCGACATCTGGTCCACCACCGCCGCCTTTGCCAGGTGGAGGGCCCCCTCCTCCTCCTGGTACACAAGCAACCGGGCCTGTTCCATTTCCGGCGCCACCCGTGGGAGGATGGAATATGCAAAAAGCTAGTGAGTTTTTGAATTTAGGTAGCAATTAATACTTGTTCTGGCTCTGCACACATACACATAGAAGAGATTCATAATGTTGTATTTTACAGCATTGAGGAAGAATCCTGTGAAGCCATCTGCACCAATGAAACCGTTGTATTGGACTAGAATATTGGCGACGCCATTGCAACAAGCAAACCACGGCGAACAAGATAACAACACATTAAAACCGTTATGGCTCGAAATAGAAGAAACAAGCTTAGATAATATTGATGAATTCACGGATCTTTTCTCGCGACAAGTAGTCAAAGCACCAGTTAAGAAAAAAGTTGAAGTTAAGACCAAAATACAGCCGGTGAAAATTTTGGATAGCAAAAGATCTCAAAATGTTGGAATTCTTGCTCAAAGTTTACATGTAGAATTTTCTGAAATAGAAAATGCTATTTATAATTTTGATATGTCAGTTGTAAGTTTGGAAGCGTTACAACAGATTTATGAGCTGGTAAGATTATTCATAACGCACTTTTACACACTGTCCATAAACACTTACCTAAGTTTTCCATGTCTTAATGTAAAATTTGTTACAGCGAGCAACAGAAGAGGAATTAGCTTCTATAAAAGAGCACTTAAAGTGTAAACCTGAAACGCCTTTGGACAGACCCGAAGCGTTCTTGCACGATTTATCTAGCATCCCACATTTCGCTGAACGTATTTCGTGTTTTATGTTCCAAGCAGAGTTCGAGGATGCTATTAGTACAACAATGCATAAGTTGGATAATTTGAAACATATTTGCGAGGTAAATGTATCCTAATAGATGATTTTGAATTCCTTTATCATGTTATGATTATAAGATTATGATTTTTAACCTTGATGCAAAAAGCGGAGAGTTATTTCCCGCCTTTAAGTTTCAAGCCGGTGTCTGTAGCATCGTAGCTCCCAAATGAATGGACTGATCTCAGTGGATTTTTTCATTTGCGGGCTAATTAAATCAGGATGGTTCTTATCTATGATAAGCAATGAATTACGAAGCTGGTAGGCTGCTAAGTTTAAAGATCGTCACCTCTTTTCCCAGTTCGTGTAGGGATCTCGTGTAGTATAGATAGACTATATTTTTATAGTCTAACTGCAATACGTGTTGCGTATTGCTTGGTTAGCAATTAAGTTTGTTTTATTTTAAATTATATATTTTGTCATTCATATTCTGGAGACCGAACAATAAACATATCTCTTTAAATAAACGTATTTCACTCTATCATCTACGTCCATCCTTTTTAAAATTCATCATTGAGCATCCAGGAAAGGTCAAGATCTCATATTAAAAAGGATGGACGTATGACAGAGTGAAATATGTTGATTTTTAAAAGACATATTTATTGTTCGGCCTCTTAGAATATGTGTGACAAAATATACAATTTAAAATAGAACATAAACTTAATTGCTAACCAAGCAATACGCACTACATGTTGCAGTTAGATTATAAATATAGTCTATCTATACTACACTCCGTCATAAAATTTGTTTTAATTAGTGCTGAAATTAGATGTACTATTAAAATCTGATTACACTACAATAATCCGCTATTTTTGATCTGATGCTGCAATTAAGTACAGTCTGCGGACTACCCATCTCCTCACCTACTAACAGCAGAATAGAAGTGTATGGTGACGAGGGTCTGTTGAAGGTGGACACAGGAACTAAACTATAGGTAGACCCTCCGAGATTGTAATCATTGTATTGGACTCGACGAGTAGTAGACAGGCAGACAGTTATTTTGTTGACTATTAGAGTACGCTGTTTTGGGTCGAGGGTTTTTAAATGTTAAGTTTCTATTTGTTACAGTTCCTTATGACAAGTGAACCTTTAAAGAAGTTATTTGCGATCATCCTAACGCTCGGCAATTACATGAATGGCGGCAATGGACAACGCGGACAAGCCGACGGGTTTGGTTTGGAGATACTTGCAAAATTGAAAGATGTCAAGGTAATTGCGTTTTTGATAACTTATCCTTGTTAACTGTGCATCTACCGTGAGTTTACAGGGATTGTTTTCGCTAGCGTCAGCGTAAAATACATGGTTGAAACACTGGACTCAAAAATACACGGCCGAGATCGATTACGTTCACACGCAGACGTGGTAATTAGTCCAATCATGGACCAACTCAAGATGACAGCTAATAGTGATACAAGACATCGTAGTCGAGTACCTGTTGCTACACCAGATGTCGCGACGAGCACTAAATGGCTATTGTAACTAATTTGTTTTACATTGACAAGCTGCAATTTTTCAGCGCTACCCTAATTTCTAGTGATAACAAACAAATCAACTAGATGGCGTTTATTGCACATTTTTATGAATAGGACTGATCTATTCTTTAATTTTGTTTCGGATTAACGCCATTTACCCGTATTAGGAAGCGTTCATTTATAATTATTTTTTAACACACAATGCCATTTATTGACACGCATATTTGTCAAAGTTCTGAAAATAAATAAAATAAAATAGCTCTTGATCAATATTTGAATATTACAAGGTAAAAAACTGATTTCTTATATTTAAGAGGAATTAATTGTGATATCCACGGCCATTTGCATAATATAAACTACTTCCAGGCTAACAGATTAGAGTGACCGTCAGGATGGCTGGTTGCCTGTGGCGTCTGGCACTGAGTGTAGATTCAAGAATTGCTACATATTTGCTACCTTTTCTAAATAATTGCTACCTTTGATATATTCGGAGAAATTTGAAAAGATAATTGACCCGCCATTCTGATATCTGGATGGCTGGTCGCCACTTTGTTCAGCATGAAGGGAGCAGATTTTCTAGAAGTATGTATTACCTACCAATAATTGGTACTTATTTGCTACTTTCACGATTTACAGGTATACGCTCCCTATCTACATTAGTTAAAAAAATATAAACAATTGAAAATTTTACGAAGAAGTGCCAACGCCTGCCCTTTATAATATGCCAATAAAGAGCACTAAAGACTTGCTTTTTTTAATTTAATCAGGCACTTCGTAAAATTTTCAATCGTTTATATTTTTTAAAATTATCTGATAGAATGGCTGGTCAATTATTTTTTTAAATTTCTCAGACTATATCAAAGCTAGCAATTATTTAGAAAAGGTAGCAAATAGGTAGCAATTCTTGAATATACACTCAGTGCCAGATGCCACAGGCGACCAGCCATCCTGACGGTCACCAGATCAGATCAGCACCATCTGGAGTTTAGACCTTTTTCAGAATTACGGTCTGTAGTGTGGTGATCAGCAGTCCTCTTTGAGATATTGGTTCAATCTAACAAATTACCTCCAAATGTAAAATGTTCCACTATCAATAGTAACTTTATGTGTCTATCTACATCTTAGAGATCTTTGAAATCAGAAAAAAAGTTTTTCAACTATGTGTTCGTAAATATACTAAGAATTATTAATAGCCAGGTTTTGTTTATTAATAAACTTGTAACGTGTTTCATTTAACAGTCGAAACAATCCAACGTGACACTACTACATTTCATAGTGCGAACATACATGCGATCCTGCGGCGGCGCGTTGGCGCCGGCCTGTGTACTGCCGATACCGGAGCCAGGCGACGTGGCGCGGGCGGCGGCCATCGACTTCGCCGACGTGGGAGCAAACCTTGCTACGCTGCAGAATCAATTAGAGTGTAGGTACACATGACATGTATAAACAGAAAAATTACAATAAATAATTTTTATGATATTTTACCCTTTAACAAATGGTCAACATAACCTTCGTCACACGGCATTGTCACACGATTATAAACGGATAGACAGCGTGGTGTTTACACGATATGTTTTCATGCTTTTAAAAGACAGATAGCCGCAGTTTTAACACAGCAATCCCCCCTGAGAACACGTCTGTGATGGGTCCACGCTTTGTTGCATACAGGACGCCAACGGCTTTGCTGCCGGAAGAACACAAGGTATGGGGTTCATCCAACGAATGAAGAAGTAGTGCGTACAAACACATATTTGAAAAGTTATATGAAAAACCGAGAAACGAAGAAACGGGCTCTTGTTCCTCTAGATATCAGTAAATCGTTGTCCACAGAAGATTCGCCGGTCATTTTGAATTAATGAAATCCTTCCAAAAGACACATCAACACAAAATGCCACTTGTTCGGTGACTAAGTATTCGATAAAAAGTATGTCTTCGCGCCATATGAAAGAGATGCATTAATACCATGCGCCACTGCACACCGAACAAGTTCATTCGATTTGCTTGACAAACCCGTTGCGTATTCGATAAACGTATAGATCTGTGTGCGTTTTTTTTTGCAGGGTAAACGCCGTATGAACGATTCTATATCAAGGTATGCGCCACTTTGTATTCGGTAAGATTTATACTGCAAAAAAATTTGCAGCACAATGCCGTGTGAACGGAGGTTAAGGCTTCTATTTGTATAAAATATTTTACGAAATTTACCATGAATTTAATATAATAATGGTGATTATTATCAACAAACACTAGATTGAATATGGCATGCATTTTGTTACACCCTATGTACAGAGTACTTCGCTAAAATTCCCATCCCACAATTTAAACGGTTTCTATTATATTTCAGCATGTAAAGAGAAGACGAAGACCGTACTAGAAACGGATGTTCAATCGCACAGCCCAGAAGAGTTTCCTAACGAAAATAAAAAGCGTCTAGAAGTATTTAAAGACAAAATGACAACGTTCATAAACGCGGCGGAGGAGAAATTAAAGACTGAACACGAAAATTTAGAAGAATGTCGATCAAAGTTTAGATCAACTGTTAAATTTTATCAATATTCGTCCAAAGTCGGCAAAGCGGACGAATGTGAGCCTCAAGAATTTTTTACTTTATGGATATCGTTTTGTAGTGACTTTAAAGACATTTTCAAGAAGGAGGAACAAATAGCTATAAAAGAAAAGTTAGTATGAAATCTCTGTGTGATGGAGTGTCATTTATTTGCAATAATATTATGTCTAAGAGTTATATTTGTGTAACGACAAATCCGAACGCCCCTACGAGACACGAAGTATGTAATACATTTTATTTCTGTTTTTTCCAGATTAAAAGAAGCCAAAAGAATGCAGGAGGAGAGAAAAACTTGTACCCAACCGAAAAAAGAAGGTGGCTTGAAGGCGCGCTTACAAAAATTATCTAATGCTAGGAAAAGCTAAGCTTCTTTTATATATGTAATGTCATAGTATTCGCACAAAGATTTAACATTTTATTATCATTCCTTTTAGTTGAATTTTGAAATGCTTTCCTCTGTAAATGTACCTGAATGCTATAGTAAACAATTAATTTTAAATATGTATAAATTATACAGAAATTACAACTATTTACGATGATTTGGAAAACCATGTCGCACACACGACACCAAATATTGTCGTAACTCAGAATTGTGCAATTGAGAAAACACGATTTGAAAATAAAAAAATAGAATGAAACCAATATAATAAATAATATCGTTACAAATACTCTCGTTTATAAATGGATAAATTAAGTATTAAATGTATAAATGAAAATAATCACATTATTCGCAATAAGACGCATTCAGTATTTTTTATTTTATTTTATCCAATTCCACAATTTCGAGTTACGACAGTATATGGTTTCATGTGCTATTTATAGAAGTGTAAGCTAGGCGAATGACGCTCAAACGTGTTGTTGATGAATCCTATGAATATTCGAAAACATTGGTCCCAATTGGTTTCAGCTTTGCAAGTCAGGGCTAATTTAATAGAACATAGCTTATGTGCAGTTTTTGTTATCCTAATGTGGATTCTGTTGTTAAAAAAATGTTGACTAAGAGACTAACCAACCCTTTTTTACTTAACTTAATGTCAATGCTCGGTGGTCGATGGAAATAAATGACAATATTCTTTTGAAAGATTTCTAGCATTATTGGCTATGTCTAGGAAGTACACCTTATTTTGAAATAAAGTACTTTTGGTTCAACATATCATATGCTGCTTAAAAGTAAAACCACATAAGTGACATTTTCCACAAAAAATCTTTAAATTATGTAAGTACCTGTTGTAAGAAAATTACCATCTTTCTGTAGATAAAACTCTAAGTTTATAGCTTTTATGTTATTGAGGTTCATGTGTAAAAAGATAGTGATTTTATTACCATGGCTATATTAATTAAAGAGTTTTTGTTTAAAATGTCACTTGTGGTTTTACCTTTAAACAGACGTTCTTGAATAAAAAATGCAATTTAACGTGTTCACAAACCAGTGTCCCACAGATAGGACCTAACGAAATAGCCCCACCAAGTTATGTCCCATTCATGGAACATTTTTAAGTAACTAGTTAAGTACTTTTATAAGCAAACAAGATTTGCACGAAACATAATTAATGCTTAACACAAATCTTATATAGTATACAATGTTTTGACACATTTTAACAAGACACGAGTTTCTCTTTTAGTCCTGGCTTAGGCAAATTAACTTATTGTAAAATCACGCATTATCGCATAACACGGCCCCGTGTTTTGCCAACATTATGTTCTTATTTAAGTAAGACATGAAATGTGGTTAAGTTTAAATACCCTGCTGTGACGAATATGTAGTCGAGGTGTGATGTATGAGGTAACGTGATAACAGCCTTGACAATTTTCTCTTGCACTGATTGAATATCATCATTCTCTCCAATTGTGTCGGGATAAAATTGTTAAATTATTTTTGTTCCATTTATCCAAGCTAGAGCCACTTAAATAAGATATATAACGCAGACCCAAAAAATATTTAAGCACTGCTGGATGTAGGGTATTTAAAAAAAATTATGGGGATGGTGAATGTGTTAATTTTGTTCAAAAATTGCGAGAATCAACGCAGTAAATTTTTTACTAAGATAATAGTTAATTTACATACATATGTATTTATGTCTGGCCAACTAATAAATGGGTATAAGAGATAAGCATTATAATTATCCCTTTATGTGGCAGCATAATTATAAAACTTTTGTACAGTAATTTGTTGATTATTTGCAAGTACCTGATGATTTGCTTTTATTGAAAAACTGCATTTTGTTTCATAATGATTATCTATGGAAATGGTGCTGTACTTATACTTATGTACATAATATTTATTTGTAAAAAAAAATATAAAAGTTTAACAATATTTGGTCATTTTATTTATAATCTAAGCATTTTTCTTTCCAAACCTTTAGGAATTTCTTTTCTATTTTCCTGTTATTAGACAAGGACCCTAGTAATGAGACTAGGGGAGTTTTTAGCGCTTGCCATTGCATAAAACTGAGATGGCTTGTCAGTGATAGGCCATTCTCTTCATTTCTCAGTTTCTCTTCTGTATTAATAAACTGTTGAAGAGTATCTTTGTTGGTTACTCTCTCAGCATAATGGTGGATTTCAACTACTGCAACAGTTGGTTTAAACAACTTTTTGAAGGCATCTCTTGATATCACCTCACCATGGTCCACGGTTTTATCTGTTGGAACTTTAAAAGATTCACTGTCATTAAGTTTTACTGTGTTTTCTTGCTCAAACTTTTCTTCAAGGCTATCATCCTTATTAACATATTCTACATATTTCATAATATTCTCAACTGTATCTCCATTATTATCTTCTATGATCAAAGACTCAAAGTTTATCGTTTTCTGCTGAGACCATTCAAACCTACCAAAGTTTTCCATATTTTTTAAATCAAGCCATTTTTCTAAATCTGTAGGGAGGTTGTAACTTTCAGGCAAAAAGGGCAAACCTTTGAATTTTAGTTGGTTACGGAAAGGGAACAGATTTGAATACCAATTACAAGAATGTTGTACTAGAACAACACTCATTGACCATATCCTGCTGACCAGAGCATAGGGCATTAAAGACATCCAATGATTTTCTCCTCGTTTGACTCTGTTCAAGTAGAAAATAGCTGCTTGTTTGGAACATATACTCACTCTAAGCATTATCTTTGTAAATGTAATCAATCTTAACAGAATATACTCCAACATCTGTCTCGTAGGTAAGTAAATTTCTTCCACATCTTTGGGCAAGACTGAAGCAAAAGTTTCAACATCTTTCAAAAAGTTTAGAACTAAGTATCTCCTCAGTGCAGTATTTACTTTCTTCAGGTTTCTATAGCCGATGTCGTTGCGAAATTTTTTGTCAAATTTGTAGAGAAACCTGGAGAGTATAGCCGCTTCTCTATGAAGCGGTGATTGTTTTGATAAAACCTTTATAATACTCTTGCTGGTATAATTTAGTTGCTTTACATCTGAAATGGATAAATCGGTTATCAACTCACAGTCGGTTTCCCGCTAGTTGACAATTAGCACATTTTTGAGAATAATAAGCAATAAAAAGTAATCTTACCAACTTTACCGTCACGGGGTGACGTGTTTATTGGAGGCGGTAATATAGAAGAGTCATTCCAAAGATCGAGCATTATTGATTTTGATACAAACCAAATCTGACCTCACAAACTTCATAAATGCACTCGTTTTTAATCTTCATGAATTTATGAATGATGATCGGCTTGCACTATAATTGTAAGTCAATGGCTTGCACCATTAGTCAATGGCTTGCAGACAATATTTGCCATATTTGCTTTTTTGCATTTTGATTTTACGGCATCGGAATAAAATACATTAAGCTAAATCTTCATAGTTCCTATCTTTTTTATATTCTGAATTCAAAATTTTTTAACTTTCGCCTCTCGCTAATTAATTATTGTAGTTGGTTTGTATTTGTGTCGCTGTAACTGTATATCTGGAGCGATATAATAATAATTCACTTTGGGAGCGATCACAAACTAATAAGAGATATGGTAGCGATTAGAGGTAGGTGATAAATAACGTCACGATGAAAAAATCACGATGATCCACCGTCAAACAGTATCACTGTGACTCGTTCCGAAGGAACGACGTTCCACAGTCACATAGGTGTTCCTCCGTTCCAATAGCTATCCCCGTCACTCACATCACGACATACGTATTTGATACAATGCGCGATCTCCGTTCCGTGGTAACTGAGCGCGCCATTCGTTGTAGTTCTCTTCAAATCGGGCCATTTCGGCCAAATCGCTACTAGCGATTTCTAAGCTCCTCTCTTGATGCGGTTCACAACACTCAAAAGGGGTAATTAAATTAAATTAAAGGAGAATTTACAATAAACTTTTTTTGTATTTTTACATTTTAATGAAAATGCATTGTATAAATATTTACGAAAATAATATGGATAAATGCCATGAAATACCAAGAGTTTATATGTATATACCATTGATTGTGGTTTGTATACTATTCTCTAAAAAAAAGCACACCTTTAAAAAAACTAGTGTCCTTTGACTTTGACTCGTGCTTAGACTATGGAAACCTTAGAGGATGGAAAAAAATAAAAGAAATGGAAACTAATGGCAGGCTTTTGAAGTTACGACTACAAAGATTATTAATTTTATTTTAACTATATTATGAAGAAAAAAACGAAAAAAAATAGCGATGAAGAAAGTTAGAACTATATTCCTTAACTGAAACCAAACTACAAAAGACTTTATCCTGAAAATTCCACTAATTACGAATTCAAAGTTTTTGTTCAAAGTGATAGAAGATAATGTGATTTATGTGAAAGTGAAAACATAAATATTGACTACCGCCGCTTAAAAGACTATGTAAAAAATCGAATAAGTGAACTAAGTTATTTAAGAGAAATTAAAAACAATCTATTAGAACTACAATGGAAAATATTACTGATTATCGCATAATTAAACGAAGACATGACTCAAAGGACTTGTATCTAAGTCAAAACCATTAATAAAAAAAAGGGGCGAATAAGTAGTGTTGCCACCTTAGACTATGGACCACCTTTTATTTTTTTCCATCCTCTAAGGTTGCCACGTTGCCCAAAGAGGAAGTAGTTAAACTTTAAGTAAAAAAGTTGCTAGATTCCAAGAAATTAATTCTGAGTAAAATTGCCTAAAGTGGCTGAACAAAAACATAATTATGGGATTGCGTTTTTAAAAACATAATTTTCTTAATTTTACAAATTATAAATCGAAAAAATAATTATCATCAATATCAATCAAATCATTATCATCTTGTGATATAGAAGGTAAAGCTTTATATTCGCGTTTTTTTTAAATTTTTTACTTTTCTTACTAAAAGAGCTAAATGATTTAACTATCAAATATTTTGTTTTGTACCTAATAATTTCGTAAATCTGAAAAATCTATATAGCTAAAAACTAGCTACAGTGGCAACACTGCGAATAACTGTTTATAATGCAAGGGCTCAGGTCATAAGGAACAATGTTATTGAAATTTGGATTATTATTTATCCACATAGCATTATTTTCAGCTATTACCATCTCATTTCCATTTCATAATTTCCATCTTTCATTGTTTAGATTTACCTATAATATACTACCTACCCTATATTCTTAATCACCATACCAAAATTCCATTTGCTTTTATTTTTATTCCGCTATTTCCTTTCCCCGTTTTTAAATTCCTATTAATATCCAAAATCCCACAAAAAAGTTCCATAACAACAACTGCGACAACAATGATATCTTGAAGTCTCAAGAAGGAAGAAAGTATTGGAAGATTTATCAAAAATTGGCAGCTCAATAGAAATTGCATTTGCATTGCATTGCACAGTGCCAGGAAATAAGAAAAAAAAGTAATTCGCGACGCTACTCGTGCCTAACTTCGCGATAGCGAAGTTACCGTTTGCACATGCGTGTCGTGCATCGCATCGCTATTCGCATCGCCTATCGCACGAATGTGACACCGCGTTTACACTATCGTCGTTTCTACCACTCGACACGAATGTTTCGTCGATTGTCGTTCATTCGTCGAAACAATCGACGATAGTGTAAACGCGGTGTTAAGAAAGAGACGCATTACTACTTTGAAGCGTTGAAGCCTCTCACTCGGCTCGTTTTATATGTAAATAACCATTTAGTATTATTATAACATATATATTTTGTTGTTGGTGTTAGGGCCATTACGATTCGATTTTCATGAAGATCGAAATTGAATACGATCTACCGATTTTTTTATCATTCGTTTCAATGCGATTATTAAGCGAATCGATTCAAAATTAAAGCAAATCGAATCGTTTTAGACCGTACTCATAATTTAAACAAAATTTTCATATTATTAATGATTTCGTCAAGTACAGAAACGGAAAATAAAGTATAGGACAATTAAGTTATATGACATTATTATAATTTTTTTAAGATAATATACAGGTAAGGTAAAAAAGACAATAAAACTTTAACTACTAGAAAGTAAAACTAGGATTTTTGAATTATATGAATCAAATTGAGTCCCCGCGGCAAGGTGCCCAAGATGCTGGCACCGTTTTCCCTTTGTATTGCTATGCTAATGCGTTGGGCAAGGTAGCTGCCGGCCCTTGGGTTTCCCCTATCAGTCAATTAATTTTTTCAATAAAATTTTGTACAGATGAAGAGCACTGGGACCCCACGAGCCAAGGGTTTCGACTCCAAAGGCTGTAAATAGGTAGTCGGAGCCGAGATCCTGGTACTTATTACTTTTTATTCTTTCCGCCAGCTCAGCTGCGGAGCCAGACCTCTTTCTGGCGTGCTGGAGATGTGATGGGGTAAGTGTGTCGGCACATGTGGCGTCCCACACCAATGCCCGGCCCATGCTCCAAGGGATGAGAGTCATTCCGTCCGGGCGTTTGCTATCTGCGATATGCCGCTTGGCTCGAGAATAGCGGGCACGTCAACTGTGGCTAAGGCCCGGCGGTTGATGTCGTTGAGGGCTGCATGACGGGAGATACGGCCGGCGCTCAGATAGCAGGAAAGACCGTGGTGACCCAGAGCACTTACGTCTTTGCCGCAAAGACGACGATGAGGGGAGCAAACTGGGACACCAAGGCGGAGGCCTGCAGCTATGTTATTATTGAAAAGTTTATTAGAATAAAGGATTAGCATTTGCGAAAAGGAAAAAAAAAGTTTACATATTATTGTGGCAATTAAATCATGTAACAAAAGATATTTCACTATTACAAACTTTGAAATGATTTTTATGAGATCAATTCAAGAATATACGATCTGATCCGCGGATCAATTAAGAGGCATTATGATCCACTACGATCCAAAAAATCGATTCAAAGCAAATAATCGTGCATCGATACGTCGTCGTCATTGGTATTTGTTTTTTTTGTACATATATAATGCATCAATGAGAAGGCAAAGGACTGCAGGACTGCAGGCCATACCGTCTAGACCGATGCAAATACTCATTGGTTTTAGGTCAATGAAGTTTTAGGTTTAATTTGATATTTATTAAGCTTGCTTATTGTCATGATTGTAATCAGCTGCGATGAAATCTTAAGCGCCCAGACACACGAAGAGAAAGTGTTCGCGCGGCCGCACCGCGGTCGAAGAGCGGAGTCCGCGGCGGCCGCCACGCGATCGAAGAGTGGAGTCCGCGGCGACTATTAAATAAATAGAGCGTATTTTGCCATGACAGTTCGATCTCTGAACACGTGCACGTGGTCGCTGGGCGGCGGCCGCCGCAGACTTTGCTCTTCGACCGTGCGGGGTGAGCGCGATGAAATTCGTGTCGTATAAACGTGACCAAAGTGTTAAATGTTCAACGATTAATTTCTTCGAGCAATGAATCGATTCTAATTCTGAATCGATTAGTGCGTATAGAAATATCTATTTATGTGGTTTAGAGTATTGATACGGTCTTCTTCATGACCAATTAATAACACAATGATATTTCACGTGAAACTATATAATTTTACTCCAGTTACATACATTTTTTAATACACCCAGTTACGTGAATGGCGCTTGGCGGTGAGAGAACGACTGGTAGCGCGCGGAGCGCGGTCGACAAGAGCACGTCAAGCTTGACAATTTGAGCTTTGGACCATTCTTATCGTAAGCGGCATAGAGTTGGATTTAAATCTTAAGTGTCAAGCTTGACGTGCTCTTGACCCTGTACCAATACGAAAACTGAAAACGCTCAAAATGCTAAAGTGGTATGTAAAATGTGCAGTAAAGGTGATCGCATACTTGTCGGTGCTGAAAGAATCGATCGCGCAGAACGAAACGAAGTTTCTTTAGACCTCGTCTCAGAACAATAACCAAGGCCTCGCACATGCACCGAAAGGATCGATAATTGTTTGCCACATAATATTCCATTGTTTATATCATATAAGCAAGCCAAGTTTAATTTAGGAATCAAAACAGGTTGGCCGTTATATACTTTGATTTTTATTTTAATCAACAAATTATATAAATTGGTCATAACAATGTTAAATATAAATATATTTAGTTATCTATCATTTATAATCGTATCTTCACACACAGATTTATATATATATATATATATATATATATATATATATATATATATATATATATATATATATATAAGGTTCTACAACTTGTAGAGCCAAGTAAAATAAAACAAAGAATAGAAAGGTGACAAGAACAATTACACCGATTGTAAAAAACTTAGTAATTTCTTATTAAAATTGTACATTTTTTGTTAGATTACTGTAACTCTTAACATCTAATTTGAAAGGCACATACTGATTTAAATAACAACATTAAACTTGTATTTAGTTTTTTGGAACTTTGCTCATGTGTTTTAAATAGATACCTATTCGTCATTAAAATTATTGTTATTTTAAGCGTTAGCAACAGCTGCTATTATTTTTTCGTAAATGTCGATTCCTCGCAGAAAGACATCGGCTTCCAAAAACTCATCATGATCGTGCAGCAAAACAGGAGTGTTATTCATTGGAGAGAAGCCTATGGCTGGAATTCCGACTTGACGGACGTACCGACTGTCGGTCCCGCCAGGGAAAATACGCCGATCCAGTTTAAGATTCCTAAAAGGAAAAGTGTTTTCGTTATCAAGTACGACGTGTAGTATATTAAGAATAATAACCATAGGTAATATTAATCGTGTGATAAACTTTGAAATTACTTACAGATTATCTACAGCCGATTTGAAGGCAACCCAGTAGGGATTGGTATTGTCTGTTTTGGTGCACTCGACTTTCTCGTTAAACTGCTCAAATTCGTACGTCACTCCATCGCCAGCCTCTTTACACCACTGTTTGATCTAAGAAGACAAAAATACCCAATACAATATAGTTTATTTCACGAGATGGAATTCTAATTTTCGAATTGAGTCTCGAATTGAATTGATCATATCTTCGAACATTTAAGTACCTACCCATATTTGGTACTTACCATACTCTCGAACTTATTATGGTCAACAGTAACAGCCAAACGAATATCAAATACGACGGTCAGTTTTTCTGGAATCACGTTCGATTGTACACCCCCCTGCAACATTTATTTTTATTTTAAACATCTGTTTATGTTGCCTCAATAGCAATTTCTGCTTCTCAAACGTGTGTTTTCATTCATAGTAGCTTCAGTTAACAACAATATTCCCACTTACCAACTAATAACACCAAGGAAAGGATAGCTTGAAAATAAAAAAACTTTTAAACAAAATTGAACAAAATAAATAAGGTTAGGGCATCCCAGTTAAACATAATAGTTAAGGTGGATTTAATTTGCTTTATCACGTTAAGGTAAAGCTACTTACGTAAATTTGTGTCAGGTTGACTGTAGTAACATCTCCAATGGTCAGTTTAGAATCACTGTCCAATATTTTCTTTTGTTGTTCTATTAAATCCATGAATTTATTTATTACGTATCTTAGCTGTAATAAAATGGCATGCTAACAATGAAAACTTTTCCTGGAAATGTTTAAATTGTCAGTCGCAAGAGTTTATCTACCTTTTCTCCTGCTGTATCCGGTAGCAACAAACTTCCGTGGCCAGGCCGACCTGGGCAGTGAACATGGATTTCTAAAAAAAAACATTTAAAAGTGTTTGTACATTTAAATGTTTTGGATTGCTACAATCAAAATATTATCAAACTGATATTAGGTATATGTGATCTTTATAGTGAATGAGTGCTTACGCCAGATGCTTCTTTCGCCGTTGAAAATAATGAACTCTTCATTCGGACTAGCCATACCCTCATCCAATGCAAATCCAACATTCAGTGCTTTAAAATCTGATGTGTGTACAAATTTCTTCATACCATCATGACCTCCAATTTCTTCATCTAAAAGCAGACACAATAATTATTTACTTATGGCTTATATCGCTTATATTATAAAAAAGAAATTAATTACATTATGGTCAGCTACATCGATAGGTACAGCGGTTTGCGCCACAGCCACGGGCACACAGTTATTCACACGTTTGTGCAGTGCGAAAAATAAAGTATTTACAAAAAAAAACAAAATTGTTTATAAAAACAATACGAATTATGTGCTTTCTAGGTGAGCTGATTTTTATATTTTGTGTTGACCTTTCACTGGTTATTCTGGCACACGTATGTATATTGTAGGGTTCAATATTGATGCATGCATCTGATTGTCATCATATTGGTTGGAACGTTTCTTTTATAATACCAAGGGACGGGACGAACAAGTCGTGGGCCTGGTGGTGGTAAGTGACACGCCTGTTCATAACAGTTGCAGTGCCACTCAGAGCTTTAAACCGCAAAGACCGGAGAGGCATTGTCACCGCTCCCGTCGCCCTGAGACGTAAGTTGACAAGTCCCATATGCCTGTAATTCAGCAGCACCCTTGCCCTTCAAAACCGAAACGCAGTAATGGTCACATTACTGCTTAGCGGCAGAAGCAGGTAGGCAGGCATGTCACAAGCTCTACTGCTACTAAACTTACGTACATAGCAACCAGCTCGCTATAAAGTTTACAAAATATCAAAGATCTATCTTTACTCTATTTTTGTGTCACTTTGCAAAAACAACCAAAAAAGTCCTTCGTTTGGTGATCTTATCATAGTTGGCGAATCTTTAGAGTAAAATAGGACAAAAGATCTCGGTAACGCACGTGGTGTCGGTCAAGATGGCTGGACCAAACGAGATATTCAAATCAAACTGTGTTCATTATTATTATTATTTTTATTATATATATTATTATTATTATTATTATTACTATTTAGTACCTTTACTGACATATTTTCTACCTTTGCGTTAACGGAAACATTAAAGAAATAAAGTGGCCAGCCATTCTGACGTCACATTCAGGTTGGCTGGACCCCTTTACGGTTTTCGTGGTTCTACCAGTATATAATTAACTTTCTTTATATAACTATTTACTACCTAATTTCTACATAAACATACTTTTTTTTCACTATTTTAGGAAGCTTCTATAAAAAGTTATGTAAACAAATAATAATAAAACGCCTTCGTAAAATGTATCTTCTAAAAAGACAGTTTATCTTCTCCGTGTAAAAAAAAAGTACCTACTGAAAAACCGTACCATAAAAAACCACCTGTTGAGTAAATAATTGAATACTAGAATACTGAAAAATAAATTAAGCGCACCCATGACTGGGTAAAATCCGTGTACGCTTTAAGTAAAAGAAGAATTAATGGTTTTATTACCCTATTGTAATAGAAAGGATAAGCCGTTCCAAGAGATAACATTCATCGATCGGTGCAAATAATATTTCTTGAACTTATACCATAATATAATAATTATAGTCACTCCATACAAACGTAGCAGCGCGTTTTGTACGTGTGCGCATCTGCCGCAATCCGTGTAGATACGGAGGACGCCGCGCCGCTGCCGCTGCGTGTGAATGGAGTTACCATACTTCTCTTGTTATGGGACTGAAATGTTTTCACCTAGCCAGTGACGCCGGCACAGGTGATATAGCGAAGCAGGAAGATGTCACTGGGATGACAAAATGTTTACACGATACTATGCTTTGCCAGCACTAGCATGCCAGTGTCCCTGGTGTCAGTCAATGTAGATCAGAGCCATAAGAGTGATGCTAAAGAATTACCAGGTACGAAGCAAATGTACACAGTTCTCTGCAGTTGGACACCACGTTGTTTTAGCTTCCGAATGGCTTCAAGGTACTGCATACCAACACATTTCATATCTTGTGAGCCACGAGCGAAAATTTTGCCATCTTCATCAATGTGTCCACTGAAAGGCGGATATGTCCAACTTTTCTATGGAAGAAATAAACGTATTCAACATAATACCACGCGTTACACGCTACGCGATATTATTTTTCACTTCAAACCATACTTACTTCAAATACCGGTACAACATCCATATGCGAATTTAGAAGTATAGAAGGGAGTTTTGGTTCTATGCCCTCCCATTTCAGGACTACTATAGGTTTGTGAGGAACAACCTCATAAACTTTGATTGGCAATGCAAGCGAGGCAGCTTGCTTCTTCAGAAAATTTACACATTCATCTAAAAACAAACAACATACAGTAAATTTCGTACACGTCTGTAGTTTCATAGTAACCAATAAAATATCATAATCGTGTTTTCTATTGTAGGGTACGATCTGAACTAAGTTGCATTAATTAATTAAATACTAAATCACTTGTTTACCTGAACATCATTATTTTCAAATTTATAAATTGTTCTATACGCATTCATAAGTAACTGACTACGAATAGTACTAGTACTTGTAGCATTAATTATTGTCTGTGCTAATTTAATAAGGAGGAGGTTACGTTCGGCTGTATGTATGTTTTCAGATATCTACATCAATTGTGGACCGATTTTGAAAATTCTTTTTTGTTTCGATTGAAAGAGTGCACTTTCGCGGTGGTCCCGTTGTCACCAAGTCAGAATCTGATGAGGGGATAAAATCAAAGGAAATTCTCAAATTTTATAGGGATGTCCGTGTAGCGTGTATTCACCAATTTCTCCATCAATTGCGGACCGATTTTGAAAATTCTTCTTTTGTTTGAAAGGGTATACACTCGAAGTGGTCCTTGATGTTGTTCTGGGTTCGTTTCGGCTGTCACAAATGACTAATTATTTTCCGTAAATAAAAGTCGACTTTTCACTTGACAATACGTGTCATCAACAAATCACCGTCACCATGACAACCAGAAAAGAAACTATAAAATGTACAAAGGAGTCCGTAACAGACCCTTTGTCACCAAGAAGTCAGAATCTGATGAGAGGATCCCATGGAAATCGAAAAAAGCCGTTAAGCAAATTCTTGAAGTAGGTTTTTGTTTTGCAATGAAAAAGTTACAATTATCCAAAATACACTCTGGGTAATATTATACCGAAATTGAACATTCGAAATTCAAATAAACAAGATGGCAGTCATACAATTACTGACGTCTTTTATCTGAGAATGTAAGAGATAGGTCGGTGCTTGAAGAAATATCATAGGAGGCGATAAGGGTCAAGTACCAGTCGCATTTCTAAATCACACATAAGGGTGAAATTTTTTACATTTTTTTTTAAGTTCATAAAAACAGCGAGTCAAATTATTAATAAAATAACTTGCAGCTTTTATACTACTAAATGTTCTACGCTTTAAGCTATTTATACAGTGGAATAGACATAATAATGTAATTGTATGTATAGATAGATGTATCACTAGAAATAAATACCTTAAATTAATTTCAACTTCTCGAGCACAAAAATGTACCCTTGCAATGCAATTCGTGCCAATTGTAAACCTAGTTCATTTCAGAAGAGCTAGCAATCTGTGCGGGGAATAAAATAATTGACTCATCGCCCTAGTCTCAATTGCATGTCCCACGTCCATAGTTGAATGTGTTATATCCTTTTTAAACTTGTTAATATACTGGCCTCTAACATTACTTCCTGTCCTGGGGCGTATGGAAACTTTACGAACTGTATATGCTTAAGTAATGTTTCATCTTTTGTCTGTTACCCAATATCCCAAGTTAGGTCTTATTGCTAATAGGGCACGTAATAAATGGGCAGCATTCGACGGTTTTTCCATACAAAAAGCACGATTAGTATGAGTTGCCTTTCGCATCCTTTCGCAATGATAGCGTTGCATCGTCTTATCTTGACAAGGCGGTAAGTCACGATCTTGTTTTGCCATAATTTACCGAGAAAAGCTCAAGTTAATCAAATTATGCGGTGATAATTAATTGCGTAATAATACTTTGTTATATTATACAATATGGCGCCCGGTAAAATGATAAGCCCGGCAAACACCATTCAATTCGAACATAAAAAAATACTTTAGATAGTGGATTTTGATAAATTATCGAATTATTTTGTGATTATCAACACTGACAGAATCTCTGTTGAACAGTAAATCTATTACAATATACATAAATGTATAAATATATAACAATCATTGTAATGTAGGTTTGTAAATGAATATTCGATTAGGTAAACCCTTGCATCGTTCTACCATTTTGGTATTATAATAATCTTATTCTGTGTCCAAAAGGTATAAGTTTTATTAATAGCTCAATTTTACTGTCAAAATTCATCGTAATATACAAACTGTAAGGGTTGATTTAACTTGAAAGTGGGCGAAAATAATCTTAAGTTTCTATTACAAGTGTTTGCTCTCAAGAAAATCGAGGCCCACATACGCTAACGACCAAGATAAATGTTAATTTGTAGAGATGAATACGTAACAAAGATCAAAGTATATCTTATTAAAAAAATATTAAATGTACACTAATTTTATGAAGTTTCTCACCGTAATTGACGTCAGGTTGGACACTTGGTATCTTCAAGTATTCAATGAAGTTTTGAATTGCTGAGTTGTTAGCGTATTTTGCCGCCATAGTGTAGCGTTCACGGGAAGCACTGCAATAAAAATGAAATGCTTCGCTTTGTAACTATCGCTAAAGTACCTAATGTACTAGTGGTTGCTACCTATAATTGAAGTCTGAGGGCGCGTTTCCATTACGTCGTGACGACAGATAGTCGTAAAGTTTAAAGTGTCGTGGCTTGTATATTAAATGAATTTGTTTACGTATAGTATAGTCAAGAGCACATCAAGCTTGACACTTTGGACTCTGGACCGTTCTCATTGCAAGCGGCATAGAAAATTATATTTAAATTATAAGTTTAAATAATAAAATATTGAATTTAATTAAACCTTTAGCGTCAAGCCTGACGTGCTCTTGACCCTGTACAACACGATTAACTGTCGTTCACGACTTTTTTGACGTTTCGACGACAGACAAAACAATGTGAAGAGCTAGAACGACAGTCATACGACGATATATAAAACTTCACGATAAAAATGTGACGACAGATAAGCGCAGCTACTATTGTGGTCTCGTTTTATTTATCGTTGTTTCATATCTGCAAACGGCAAGGCTGCTGTAAAATGATAAATTGTTGTAACGATCCAGTGGGAACAGCTGTCGTAAAACGATATAAAAAAAAACCACGCCACAGTCACGGCAGATAGTCGTGATATGAGAAGATGCGGTCTAATTTGTTCTCTGTCCGACATCCATTCGAAACAATTACTGTCAAATAAGTAAAACTTGATCAAATTAAAAAAGGCGTGACGCGAATGAAGCTTCATACTTGACATTGTCTTTTAATTTGGTCGAGTATTACTTCTTTGACAATAATTGTTTCGAACGAATGTCGGACCGCGAACGACAGTAGACCCCCAGGCTAGACGCGACAGTCGTCCAACGATAAATAAAACGTTACGACATAATGGGAACGCCCCCTGACACTGACATAATATATTTATCTAAAGCCGTGTGTGTATTTGGTGTCTGATAGAACAAATTACATAAGGAAAACTTTGTGTATCTAGGTATGTACATAAGTAGAGTACACAAGACAACATTATATTAATTATACTCCATAAAATTTTGTAGAGCGGGGCGAAGTAGCTACAACTGACGACACAAGGTAGGTAATAAGTAGTAAATTTGAAAACGTCGTAACTCCGTTTTTGGACGAAATATCATTTTGCTCGCAATATCGGACAATTAAAGTTTAAAATATAATATCTAGATCTTTTTTATTTATAAAATGAAAGTATAATACTTCGATTGCAATCTAATTATTTCTAAAAATTCTGTTATTTGTGCCTATTCAATAGTTCACATTAATGGACGTACGAGGTTTACAAATTTAGCCGACAATATCGAGCTACACATTAATGGATCTTCTTTCGTTCACTGGAGGCGATATTCGAACAAAAGTGAATAGCTTGATGTGCTTGAATCTTAGAACTAAGTCCAAAGTCATGGTACCACGATTTGGTTTAACTACGGTAAACGATTCTTTTATAGGGAACTGGGGCCTTACCATGAACTCTTATTACAGTTCAGTATAGGTTCGTAACGATAAAGAAGCGGGATGGTGATATACACTTCAAGTAGCGCTGTCTCACAACGATTTATTTTAGGTACTAAACTGAATCGTAATAAGAGTTCATGGTATACGTTGTTACTGTATACGTTTTTACATAGGACGCACTATAAGTTTCCGGAAGTTTTCACTTACATAAACAATATTTAAAAAGTAATTACAACCTTTGAAAATGAAACTCTTTGGCTGTAGAATACAGTTTGTAGTATCTGTATAATATGACTGTTACTTGTTTTTACATTGTGGCGTTATTTTAGAAATTGGTTGTCTACATTACCATGGATTTAACTCGTGAAAATTTTCGTAGTATGATTTTCTAAGTGTAATTTAACAACTCAGCGGACCTTTGCTCGGCTTCAAACTGCTTTTGGCGATGAAGCACCATGCAAGACGACTATTTATAGCTAGTTTGCAGAATTCAAACGCGGTCGTGTGAATATCAGTGACGAATTTCGTAATTGTCGCCCGTCCACTGCTGTAAACAACAAAAACATCGATGCTGTGCTCCGTATGATCAAAACAGACAGGTATGTGACATACCATGAGAATCGGGCATCTTTAGGCATAAACATGAGTCAAATACAATCAATACTACACAAACATTTGGGTGTGAAAAAGCTGTGCTCTCGGTGGATACCACACAATTTGACTGAGGCTCAAAAAACGGATAGCTCACTTGGTGCAATGCCATGCTTACCAGATTCAACGAAGGGGCGTCAAATTTGGTGTGGGACATAGTAACATTTTTTTTTAAATAACGCAAAAAAATAAACATTTTCCGCGCGCGCGGCGTTTCGTTCATTTTTTTTTACGAAAATGTTTATTTTTTTGCGTTATTACAAAAATTTTTCCCAGTATTCAATTAAACAGCACAAATTAATACGTAATTGTAAATTTTTTTATTTTCGAACAATTATTTTTTGTTCCAAAAAAATAACGAAACGCAAAAAAGGACGCCATGTTGTTTGTTGTTGTTTACTTTACTTGCTTTACTGTTTGATGTATGCATCAATTAGGATTTTGCATTTTTGCCTGGTTTTAGGTTAAATTTAGTTTCTCGTATAACCTGTACGTATAACACAGGAAGTGGGGTCAGAGGGGGTTTGGGGGTGGGTTTTTCCCGCTAGGGGTGCGGGAGGAGGGGTTTGCCCCGCTCTTTGGTGCAAAAATATGATTTTTTGAGGTTATTTTTTTCGAATTTTCAAAAATTAATATCTCGAAAACTATTATCTTCCTAACTTTGAAACTTTGCACGAAGGGTCCCCTCCCCTCTCCCCTTCCCCCCACCCCCCCTCCCAACCCTCAAATCGTGCGATGGTAATGTACAGTCCTTCCACAAAATGTTCTTTTAATAATATATTGATAATATTTCGTTATGTTGGTAAAATTCAGTGACTGTGTGAAAATGTTTATAATATTTATCAAGGTTGATCATGGAAACAAGTTAGTAAACAAAGAACATGTTAAGCACTTTCAACGAAGATTGTATAAAAAATAAAGTACAATTTACTTACCTGAGCACTCTGCCCCCAATTAATATGCAAATAAAAGAAATACATGAAATAATCAGAAAATGTAAGTTTTATAGTTCTCATATACCGTATTAGCATCACTTTTATTACAGCTGATATCATGGACTTGACAATCGTGACATTAAACAGCTGATCCATTTGACAAGTAGCGCCGCCGTAGACGACGGCGGCGCGCAGGCTTTTTATTTTCGTCTCGCTAGACATCGAAAGGGTCCGATCTGTAAAAAGGATTTCGCTGACTTCAAAGATGTACGTTTAATACATTCAACTCGACGAACTTATATTATGTATATTACGTCATTTTATGTTATTGTTTTATCTAACAGCATTAAATGATGTTAACTCCATAAGTTAGCTGTTGTTGACTGCAACAAACGCAACACGTTTTTTGTTTTTTTTTTTTATTAATGGTTTTGGCTTGGATACGAGTCCTTTGAGCCATGCCTTCGTTTAATTATCGAATACTCAGTAATATTTTCCTTTGTAGTTCTAATAGATTGTTTTCAATTTCTCTTAAATAAATTAGTTCACTTATTCAGGTTTTTTGCATAGTATTTTAAGCGGTGGGAGTCAATATTTATGTTTTCATTTTCACTTATATCACAATAATTTCTATCACTTTAAACAAAAACTTTGAATTCGTAATTAGTGGAATTTTCAGGATAAAGTCTTTTGTAATTTAGTTTAAGATAAGTAATATAGTTCTAACTTTCTTCATCACTATTTCTTTCTTGGTTTTTTCTTCATAAAACATAAAATAAAATTAATAATCTTTGTAGACTGTAGTTGCAACTTCAAAAGCACGCTATTTTTCCACATTATTTATTTATTTATAAAGCATTGGCTTCAGAGCCATCAGCATAATGGTAACAAATAATCAAGAAACGCACAACGTAATGTACATAAACTAAAAATTAATTCGTGTAAAAAATGTACTATTCGACCATTTCTCTCTTACAGGATTTTCCACACGTTGCTGTTTTTGTTCTTTCGTCTAAAAAGATAGGCTAGGTTCAAACGTTATACTGCCTCGCCTTTAGTGGCGATCTAACGTCTTTATTAAAATTCTGCAAATTGACGTTTTTAGTAGGTAATACTTTTTCTACTGTAATGGCAAGTCTATATATTTTTTACCGTCATGATAAACGTAAAATATGCGGAATTATACGAAGACGCTTTTAATTTTCCGTCGGTGATGCATGTTGTCGTTGTCATGACGTTTATAGTAAATAATTGATTGGACACACCGTTGTATTAAAAAAATTGTGAATGTACGTACGTACACATATATATATTGGTATATCGATATAGTCGTAATCGATGTAGTCCGTCAAATCGATATGGAGAGTATTATACACGTGCAACACTAAACTTCAGTAACGTTCGCGGGATTCGCTCTGGACCTTTTGGAGGGAAAAGTGTCGTTTTTATTTTGACTTTCAATTATTTTGTGAAATCTAGTTTAAAGTGGAATAGGATAGTGCTATTGTGCCTTAATCGAAGATTAAAACGCGAAATTATACGAATCTCGAACTAAAATACCCGTATCGGCCCGTTCTAAGGAATCCCGAGTCAATCCAAGCACGCCGCCACAAATTGCCTATCCTCTTTGTGGCGGCCATATTTACAGAAAAACTTATTTTTATGTTTTCGGCTGCCGGACTTTATTTCCATGGCCAGCAATAAATTAAAAAGAAAAAGTAACGTTCGCGTCGTGTCAAATACTGTCAAATATCTCCTGTCTCTGTCTGTCACTCAAATGTTTCTGTCTGTCGGTGTGTGGTGTATTACAGTTCGGAGTGGTATTCGTTACTTTTGATTTTTGTTTGGATTTTCTTCAGTTTTCTTCGACATGGATGATGAATATTACCGTTTAACTTCTGAACTGGACGCTAGAGAAATATTAAGATATTTAAACAATTTGGGCATTCATAATATTAGTGGAGAAGTTCTAAAGTATTTCATCACAGGTACGGTTTTTTATTGCTACGTTTTACCGCCTATTTACGTATAAATTTGTAGTAAAGCAGTGGTCAATTTATAATTACAGATCTAAAGAAGCTTATTAAGTACGATATAGCAAAGAGGTACAAGAAAGATACTGAAGAATATGAATCTCAAGGTGTTGAAAGATTGCATAGCGCGAGTACATTTTGTTCACGATTACGATCAATAAGTAGCAGTAACACTATTCCACAATGTTCTAAACAATGCCAGAAGGGAAGGCAGCCTTTAAAAATGAGGAATGTACATTCTGCACCAGTATTAGGACAGCAAACAAAGACTCAAGAGGAAAAGTTGCCAAGGCGAGCATGCTCTTGTATTAGGGAAGAGAAAAAAGCTGAAAAAATACCTAAAGAAACCAAGGAAACTATCCATTCCAATACTAACTGTAAGTAAAATATAATACTAGATAATAAGCAACTTAATAAAAATGTCATTAAGAGATATTAAAGTTAATTTTTTTTGTATTTTTAGTGATAAAAGTACCAAAACAGCCAGTAAAAAAGAAATGTGACCCAGTGTCACTGTACCACTACTACACATCATTATGGGATAAATACAAATCAAATGTACCAGGAGAAAATGACTGGGCAGAGCTCAGATGGAGTATACGACAAAGAATGGCTGGTAGTACAGCATCTACAGGCAATAAGGTAAGTTGAAAACAAATTGATGGCTTTCAAGAATAGTGGTTGATTTCAAAACATCTCATTCATAAGGAAGACAGTTAAATAAAGTGAGGGTTATTTAGTCCACATGGCGTAAAAGCCCAACAAACTATAGTTGCAAAGTGATTATTTTAACCAATGGAAAGTTCAGTATTTTATTCGCAACAAAAAGAACATAACATCATCGTGGAGTGAATACCTCATATGTGATTTCTATGTAATTTTTCCGGACAAAGATAAAAATGTGTAAAATGTAGTAAATGTAATGATGTTTGTGTTAGAATTTTAATTAGTTAGATTATACCTGTTTCAGATACTATATTACTTTAATAATATACTTCAACAAGAAGTTTAAAGTTAACAAAAATCAGTAAAAACAAACAATGTGAAAATGTGTATGTCAGGTTTTCACTCTTAAGGTGATGATAAGCACTTATTGAACATATCAATGGTAAAATTGCAAAAGTAACGGTTTTGCTTTGGGCCACTATTCTTAATAAGCAGCGGATTGCAGAAAATAAATTTTCAAAATCTGTACTTAACAGATCTTATTGAAAGAATTTTCTAGGTGTGAAGATTGTTTTAACTCTGTTTAATAACAGACAAAAGCAAAGTACAGTTAGTTATTATGGACAACTAAGAGTCCATCATAACATGAAAAATTTTAAACCAATTTTTATTTTATTATAAACACAAGTTACTAACTGAGACACATAGCTGTATAAATGAATGATAATTAGAAATTTTTTGATTGATTGGACACTTTTGGATTGAATTGTCATGTGTGTCTTGTATGCTTTATAGTGATAAAATAATTTGACAGACGTACCAATTACTTGGCCTCTTATTAGGGAATTCCATGTATTATATGATCACCAGAGTAATAAAATTAACTCCAGGGCAATACTTACAAACACAACACTCAACAAGGAACTCAATTTAGAAAAGCTCATTTCCCAAATTGATCCAGTCAGGAATCAAACTGGTGATCTCCTACACACACAGTGTACACTACAGTCTTTGCGATTGTCAAATAATATCATTTACTTGTTTTCAGGGCTCGGAACAAAGGCTTCGGGGAAAAGGTGATTTAAAGAAATGACAATCAATTTATTGGAGATTGTTATGGACATAATCTTCAAAGAGAAAACATGTTGCTTATGTTAATTTTGAAATAAAAACATTGACTTTTTATAACATTTATTTTATTAATATTTTTCAATATACTATTTAGTGTATTGGACAAGAACACTGATAAAATGAAAATGATAAAAAATGGTCAGGATAAAAACATAATTGCCATATTATTATATTGTGTATATATTTTAAAATACTATTTACTGCTTTCTATGTATTAGCTTTTTAATGTATCTTCTGATTTTCCTCAATAAACATTCCTCCCCATGTAATTTTGAGGGGTCAGTGTTCTTTTCACAACAGTTAAAATAAAACTACACTTGGCTTAATTTAAATGCAGCCTCTTTGTCTCTAGTAATAGAATTTAGATGATGTAAAATGCGTTCTTCAATTTTCTCTGCAGCTCTCATAGTAAGGACTAGGGTATCATGTTTCAGCATTGAGTATACATTCAGGCCATACACAGGTATAATATTGACATGCGGCAGACTATCAGTGGCTGCTATTACATTTTGTGGGGCATAGTCAGTGCTGAAATGGAAACAAAAAACAATATATTAAAACAGTCCTGGAATCGAGGAGCGTCTGAACATAATTTATCCAACTTGAACTGCTAAATCTTTCTTAAAAATACATTGCAAATGCACAAAGCGAAAAGAGATTAGAAGAAATATGAATTGAAATTTACCAGATTTATCACTGTTTGTTTTGAAGCTCCTCATTATACATAAAACGTAATGCCACACTACTGTATCACACTATCACAGTATGAGCTCATAAGTATGCTACTTACTCATCAACAAGTAACACTGAAGGTCCCCAATTCCTCTTTTCAATCAACTGTGCTAAATATTCAGGTTCATCTGATGGTAATTCTAAATCCCTCACAACATGGAGATCGTCTTGTGCTAACTTTGCAGACAGAGTTGCTGTTAATCCATATATTCTCAAATGAAATGGCAACATGAAGAAATGAGTTTTGCCCGAGCGTGGACCGTGAACTACTCCGCCGCCTCTGAATAAAGGAGATCTAATAGACCCATGTCGGGCTCTGCCTAATCCTTTCTGAGGCCAAGGCTTTCGTCCACCACCTTTCACTTCCGCTCTCGTTTTCGTATGGGCCCAAGACACCCACCTATACTTCCTCTGCCACACAATATTACGATGAATAACGTCTATCCTAGGCATAGAGGCATATACAGTTGGATGTAACTCAAACAACCCCAGTTTTTTCTCTTCGATCGTATCCAAGTTTTCAATCCACACTTCACGTGGTTTTGTGTATTGTGGTGGGAATTTCCAATCCTTTTGGGTTATAGTCAAAGAATCATTTGTGTTTGGAACAGATATAGCATTAGAGGCCACTGAAGAGAATATACGAATTTGCGGAGCCACATTGATGTGGAGCCTTTTAATTGCACTTATTAGTAGGGAAGTCATGCTTGCTTGCTTATTTATTTAATATCTAATAATATACAACTAGAATTATTTGGTAATTAAATAAAACTGCTAAATAAACCGAGACTGCTGCAGAGAATTGTCAAAATTTTTAGGTTATAATTTTATTCAAAGTGTGTTTGTTACTCATTCAGCCTCATTGAATGTCTGCTTGATTTGGTACAGATACCTATTTAAAATGAACTGTATTATTGAAAAAAATCTAGTATACTTTAGTTTTTATATTTTCCGAAAGAACGCCATGTCAAGGTGAACAGATTTTTATGCATGGCGCATTAGCACCAGCGTTGAGCGGATAGAGCTCGAATATTTAAAGTCCAATCATAATTTTAGTAGAAACATTAAGTTTTCTGTAAAACTAACTAACGGTACCAGTAGGTATGAGTTGTCGCTCCGTGTATCGTATACACGCCCGGTTTACACTTTTATGTGTAATGTAAGGCGGCAAATGCAAAATTAAAAACATTGTATGCTGTGTAAAAAAATGAAATATCCTTCTGGTGTGCTTAAAAGTGCTTCCTTGGACTGTGTATCTCCATTAAGGGTGTACTGCATCGTCATCTGATATTAAAGGGACATATGACAGTCTCTGTTGACGCGTGCAACATCCAGCACGTATCCAGGTGACTCTCAGCGCCGAAATATAATGCCAAATTCAAGTATACAAGTCATGAAGGTTTTTGTTAGGACAGGTTATTGTCGAATGTCAGTCATGGTGATAATGTCTAGTCATGGAAGATAATTATACTGTAAGGTTACATCTATGAGTCAGCAAGAGGAGAGCAAGATTAGGGTCATTGTATTCAATTACTAGATGATACTGGGTCGATGCGCAAATACCTTATTGGATCTGAGTAAATGCTTAGTGTCAGGCTTAATGGGCTCGTGTGCCAATACTACTGAGTCGATGCACCTGTATTGAAACTTAATTTTAATGTGTTATTTCTTTGCAATTGAAAGTTCCATGTATAAGGTTCAAATTAAAGCAAACGGTTATGATTACTTAAATTATTGGATGTTTTTCTTGAACGAAACCTAATCTGTAAAAAGTTAAGGTCTCTAGTTAATTTGAATTGAAAGCGTTTCCCAAAAAAGCGTCTGTTTTCGCAAAACGAGAATGACTCCGAACTTTGGACATAAAAACGTATTTGTAGTTTCACTACGTTAGGAAAGTTTTTTTTTATAAAAAAATAGGTGCGCATTTGACCTCCATCTCACACGATGGAAAGTGACGATGAGGTCGACGACGTAGCATGTACACCTAAATAATGGCTTTTTTTTTCACTCTCGCCTTGAAGATCCAAGCTATATATAGCCTTCGGAGAATATGCCCGCAGGCAGAGAATTCCATTCCTTCGCCGCTAGCCATATAAATCTGGAAAACAAGCGCTTCGTGAGAATAATATATAATAGTAGGAATAAATCCCGAGGGAGATAGAGAGTTTCGATCGACAGCTAGCAAGAACAACAAAGCGGCGGGCGATGTTGGAATCACTACACAGCTTCTGAGAGCAGGCGCCAAGCCGATACTTAAAGTCCTCTAGAAGCTTTTCATTTCTGTCATCGTCGAAGGTCAAACGCCGAAGGCATGGGGCAGAAGCGAGGTCGTCCTGTTCTTCAAAAAGGGTGATAAAACAATCTTGAAGAACTGTCGGCCAATCTCGCTTCTGAGCCATATCTATAGGTTGTATTCGAGAGTTATCACAAATCGTCTTGCTCGCAGATTTGACGATTTCCAACCTCCCGAACAAGCCGATTTCCGAAAGGGTTATAGTACCATAGACCACATCCATACGCTGCGGCAGGTTATGCAGAAAACCGGGGAGTATAACCGGCCACTTTGCTTAGCGTTTGTGGATTATGAGAAGGATTGATTCGATCGAGACCTGGGCGGTGCTGCAGTCTCTCCAAAGGTGCCAAGTAGACTATAGGTATATCGAGGTGTTAAGGTACTTATACAAAAACGCCACTATGTCAGTCTGATTACAGGATCAGAGCTCTAATCCTATCCAGTCCAGTCCAGTTACGTAAGTCTAACTTTGAGAAAGAGATCTCTCGTCGAATCCAACTAGGATGGGCAGCGTTCGGGAAACTACAAACAATTTTGCGTCCAAATTACCTCAGTGGACTTGTGTGTTATCGTGTGTATGTCGTGGAGACCGTTGCGGCAGGCCTATACCCAGCAGTGGGCGTCGTATGGCTGAATGATGAATCGTAATCGAGATGAGGGTAGTCGTCGACAGCGAAAGACGGTAGACAGACGACAGACAGAGTATCTGTTCTTCAAACTGTCATCTGCCGCTGGCCAGTCAACCTGTGACGGTGGATCGTGTAACCGTTCCGAAATATCGGGAAAATATATAAAGAAATCGTATCGTCGAAACCTGTAATTAGTGATTATCACACAATATTAAAACGCCCAGGAACAATGACTTTCGGGTGTCACATTCACTAAGTACTTAATTACACACCGCCATTGAGTCATGCTGGATTGTTTTTAATTGAATTGAAGATTGTTTTCAAACATTGTCTTCATGAGTCATAATTATAAGCCAAGACATCAAAGCAATTTAGGTAACGTGGGGGGTGCAATAAAAACAATCCAGCATGACTCAATGGCGGTGGAACCTCTACGATTTTCATTTTCGTTTATTGCTATAGGGCACTCGAACTGAGACATTAATTACAGACTTTACGGAAGTAGGCTTTTGCTCTTAAATCTTAAAGTTAGCGGAATCTTTTGACTTTACTTCTGGAAATTTCCAAATTCTGTTTTTTGAAAAATTGCGGGCAAAACTTGTGTTACATAAAATTACGCCGTTAGGCTCTTTACTTTAAAAATTATTTTCTGTTTCGTTAATTTTTTTTTTAAAGTATTCACTAAATAAGTTAAATATACCTAAGTTTCTAACTAAATAAGTTTGCAGATAGGTACTTTGATACCTACTCGTCGCCAATGAATAACAAAACAAAATATTATAGATATATAAAAATAGCTTTCATTCCATTTTTATTCCCTCAGAGATGGGTAGTGGATTAAAATCGAATCTGTTCCTCACGGTTTTTTAAATCTTGGGCGTAAACCATTGCACGTGCCAAATAATTTGGTATATTTTAGATAGAAAGAAAATACAAGTAATTGACTATCACAAATAACACCACACAGAAATAAAACAGAAAAAAAGATATTTAAAAACATAATCAAAAAAATTCTAACTTAAGACACAAATAGATTATAAAACAAAATCACAAACAAAACCAAAACTAAATTAAATTTTAATGTAGATGGGTAGCAAAAAGAATGAAAACGCTCTGCCGAAGTAATACTAATTATTTATTTTTTAATCAAATATTTGAAAATAATGGATTATTTAGGGAATGAAGTTAAATAAAAATCCTTAGATCATTATTACTTATTAGCTTAGTTGTTATAAAAATGTTCAAATCTTACTTTATCGCCTTTATGTATTTGTTTTTTAAATTAACTGTTTAAATTAATTTTTCTTTATGAAGGGAAATATAATGTAGCTATAGGTAATGCCTACATATAATTTCGTTTCGTACCTACTTCGATTATGACAATTTGGATAATATACATTTTGCGTATTTAATTTTAATGTTAATCACTTTCAAAGTCAGACATGTTTTGTCCACTGCATTCCATAAAATCAAGATTCTGGATTTGATCCAGTCATCATTTTGCATATACTTCCATGACTAGTTGGGAATTGAGATTCTTTAAATGCAAAACTGCTGCCATCATTGGATTCTTCATTACGTTTGGTTCAACCAAATTCCTATATAAATATGAAGGTTAATTTGGATGCTCTTTCACTTGTGGGTAATTTTCTGGTTAGTTTATCTACTTGCTTTAGGTGACAATTTTTATTATTTAAGTGTTCTAGAATGTTATTATGAAGTATTATTGATAAATTCGGGTGTGGTATCCTAAAATATTATTTAATACTTCACGATAATATACTCCAATACATAAATAATAAAAATTGCCACCGAAATATGCGTAGGTAGCGAATGGCGACAAGTTACCTGAAAATTACCCTTGTAAGGCTTAATATTTATTTCTTTTGTTGGTGTGGATGTTTCCATATGGGCTGTGGGAACGTTCCACGGTGCTGTTAGTAATCGCCAGGCAATTTTGTTCAAATTGGTTGAGTCACATATTCCTTCCACCAAGCAATAATAGCACTTATTTTTCTTCCAAGCAAAATGGAGCAGCCATTCTACTTACTTACTTTAAGAGCGTAGCAAACATCACTGGAAACCAAAGTATGAATGAAATTATGAAACCAATCTCAGATGTGAGTGTGACACTGTAATCAATTAAATGTATCATGGTGAGTGTTTTTATTACAATGAAAGATATGAGATCAAAATTTGATTTAATTTTACCAGAAATTTTAAAGCACCGAAGATCAGAGAACCATTATCACTGGAGTTGATCACAGAATATTTATGTGCGTAAAGCCAATCCATATAGTGGTACATTTGTTAGGCCCAGTCTCTCGAAAGTGAACTTATGAACTTATGAATGAATATGAAGAAATTGCAGTGTTTGAAGACATAAAAGACATGATCTAATATTTAACATGCTCTTGCTTTAGTCCTTGCCGAGGACAAGATTCTCGTTGTTGCTATCGGACCCATTTACTAAATACAACATGTATTGACAGTTAAATAATAATTTCCAACATATTAAATAAAGGTATACTTAAAAGTGTAATAAAATAAGCTCTTGACACGTCGGAACATTACAATTTTTCTTTCAATGAGTATGGATCACATACAGTCCAATCTCAATTTCAATTCCATCTCGCCGATTTGGCCCAGAATTAGGTGCGATTTATTTTCATTCGTTACATTCTCTCGCTCTCGAAGGTAAATGTTAAGGCTCCGCTGGATTTATGGGCCCGCAGCCAAATCTTGAGAGGTTCATTGTTAAAAGAGAACTCACTTATTCAAACTTATTTGAAATATTCCTCTTCGATTTTATTTCCCACGGCCCTCCTTCGACTTACCTACCTATTGTGAATGTAAATATAAA